AGAGTATGGGAGGCTGGAAAATAATAAGAATTCTACTAGGCCATGGTAGCAATTTCTCTTATTCTGGGAACTCCGTTTAGACTTATTGTTAACAGGTAAAACCCGACTTTTTATATGAATAATATTAACTTTTGTACTTATCTAAGTGCTTTACGATCTACATTAACTTTCGAGATTTGCCAATGTGTATAGACAATCTCATCAGACTAAAAGTTTCGAGAAGATTTTTTTTATTTCTTTCCTTTTTTATGATTTTCATGATTGATACGGACGGTCGATATTAATCATAAAGCAAAAGAAAATGATAAAAATATATGATTGAAAATATCTTCTTGAACATTTTAGTGTATGCTTAAGCATACAAACCACGCCACTGAACGGAACTCTGATTTATCAAAACAGTGGCTAATCTTGCGCTCAGAAGCACACTAATGTCAGTGCAACAGGCTCTAATGAGTTTTGAAGATATGCCATCGATACCAGTGGCCTTCTTCGCCTTCACCTTAGAGATAGCCTTTTCAACCACGAAAGGAGAAACATGATTAAAACAAAACTTTGACTCATCATTATTGTGTGCCCTAATCTCTTTTAAAATAGTTTCATCAGAAGAATCTTCTGTACCAATATCAGAAGCAACATTAACATAAAAAGCCACCAATAAAACATTGCTGACCGCTGCTTGATCACTGATAATGACCTCATTTTCCTTTAAAATTACATTAATGCATTGTGCAGAGCCCTTATTTGATAAAAATGGTTACATGGTGGGCCAGAAATCAGGTAAGAAAGCATGTAACGGCATGACGCAGGCAGTAGTAATGAAAAATAAATCCTTTCAAAACTTTTTGGTAATGAGTGTACGATCTTGTGTTACATACATGTTTTAAAATCATAGAAATAACGCGAAATAAGCATTTTGTTGAGTCTTTATCATGAAACGCATGAAATACCTGCGGACGCGTCATGACAGTACACGGTGGCAAGCGCGCACGAGCGGGTCATAGCTTTGGGGAAATAGGCGTAGCAATCCGCCGTAGCTTTTTTTGACCGACCGAAGAAAAAAAACGAGCACACAGACACGTCATTTTCTTTGTATTTTCTATTATCTCATATTCTCCTCTTAAAATAAGGCATAGCTTTTCTTAAGAAAGACAGTCAGTGGAAAATTTTGACTTTTCACGAAAGCAGATCCTAAAGGCGTATGAATACTCATATACCTTATCGTACCGTGTATATAACGAAATGGATCAACAATTAAACTATCTTTCTTATTAAAAGTCTGATTTCCTTTTCTTTAATGCATCCCCGATTTCTGAAAACAGCGTTTGTTTTGTTTTCAGTATTCACTGTTTCTTTCCATTTTTTTTGATAAAGCCTTCTGCTGATTCAGAAAACAGTACTACGTAATCTGGATTACAAGAAGGAAATACACTTAGTCCCCCCAAAACAGTAACTAGCTCCACTATTTTCAATAAAGCTCTTCTCAAATTCATTAACAAACAAAACAAAAATATTGCGATTGTTCACATTGTATCAATTCAACATTATTGTAGAATAAGTTATTACATTTGCTATTAACTAAAACACCAGATTGTTTTCTCATCTAAATAAGGAGTAACTGTTGCTGAAAACTACCTCGATGGAAGAATTGTGTCAACTGTTATCATTCTTGCCTTATTTTATTTATTGGTTGCGACCTCAGAGCGATAATTCGACAGATCTGCAGCGCACACGCAGGCATACACACATAGGGATATATTAGCCAGGTGGCATAGGACTAGTAGTTCGCGCCTGATAAGGCAGCTCCTACATACGAATTCCTCAGAAATTGTTTTAATTGTATATCTATGTTCTGTAAAGCGCTTTAGAATGGCTTATGTTAGCTATTTAAGGCGCTACATCAATTGTAGTATATTATTGTTATTATTATGTCATAAAATTGTAATAACCAAATATAAAAAGTAACAAATATAAGTATGACTATATGGTATATATGATACAGCAAATTATTTTAATTTATTGGATTATAATTTAATAGTGTTGAATGTGGCTTTTTGGCAATTAAATTGATAAATGCGTCCTGAATTAAAGTATTTCATGGGAGGTAACTCTTACTTGTGCTGCTGCTGATGCTGCTACATGGCGCGATGCTGAAAGACTAATCACCTCGAGGTGTCATTCCGGAGTTACGGAATAATGGTATTGGTGTGGAGGTGTCATTCCGGAGTTACGGAATAATGGTATTGGTGTGGAGGTGTCATTCCGGAGTTACGGAATAATGATATTGGTGTGGAGGTGTCATTCCGGAGTTACGGAATAATGGTATTGGTGTGGAGCTGTTCAATGCTTTTGAATGATGAATATTTTTTTCTGACTGGGAGTCTCTGGTTCAATATGGATCGATGGCATTGGACCATTTTGCGCGTCCTAGTTCCTTGCCTATTGATTTCCGAATTAGTTAGAAAAGTTCTGTTGGGTGTTTTTACAGTATTTTTTTAAGCAGATTTTTTTTAGGTTCTAGCTACTGAACATGCATACAATCTGATGCCTCCCATCTTCCTATCACATGTGTACTATATATATTCTCTTGACGAGGGTATACATTTAATGCATCCTTGTATTACTCGATAATGGTCGGGTCGGTGAACGAAAGCTACTCACGGGATAGCTTGACATTGTGGAACCTCTGGGTATTCCGCCTGCCGTACTGTTCCAGCTCCTCGACTTGACCAGTTAGAGAGCCGACCTGGTCCTCTAGGGCTGAACATTTGGTAGTTAGAAAGTCATTAGATATTTTCATCTCGCTGATTTCAGAAGCTTGGGCATGGACGGTCCACAGGTTCTAGCCGCGTCTGCCAATACATAATATAATCGATTATATTATGGGTGTATTGACAGGCGAGGCTACTACCTATATACCGTCTGCTGGAAGGCAACATGTCGGCCATTGTATCACGGACAATGGCGTAGAGAGTATCCCGTAGATGGGGTATGAATGCCTCGACACTAGTCTCGTTCAACCTCGACACATGCACGTGCAATGCAAGAGACGAATGCTGGGCTCGATAGAGTAGCATGCATAAAAGTATTAAGGTCTATGACTGACCGTCCCTTTACCTGCATCATGTTGGAGCGATTGGCCTTCCTCCGAGAGGGATGGGAACGGGTTGCGCCTCCTGTCGGTGGGGAGTTCGGCAAGTCCGGGGGACACTGTGTCCGGGGACATGGTTTATATAAAGTTCATATTATGAAGCTCAATTTGGTCAAACAAAGGGCAGTGGTGGGTTACTCAGTAATAAAAGATGAATGTCTCTTCATGGGTGGGTTACCGGTATATTCAATATCCAGAAAACATTTGCCCATGTAACTTATCACCATGGTGAATTGTCATTTGGTTACATATCGCTTGAAACACACACTTGTATAAAGCCGTATTTCTTGGAGGAGCTGGTCAAATTTTATCAGTCAATCGACATCTCATGAAGTATCTTTTCTCGACAGATATGAAAACACAGAAATGATATACATAAAATGTAGAGGTTTTAAAGTCTTATAAATGTCCTATCTTTCTTGCGCATTCAGTAGTTTTATTTTCCCTTAAGAAACAAACCTACTCATATATTCTGGCTGACATGGTAATGCGTATCTTCATGTACACAAGCTTCCTCCATTGCATTAAAGTTCCTCTTTAGACCTTAATCTTCAGAGGATGTCAAAAACTTTTAAACGGTGAAATTACCGCTTTCCGCTGAAATTAAATTCCTGTCATTGTGTGCATGTATATAATGCGCATACACTTTTATAAAAACTTTATTTCTTTTTGTAATAACCTAATATAAAAAGGTAACGTAAATAAAAACCACAGTGTAGTTTGTATGATACAGCAAATGATTTTATTTTATTAGATTATAATTAAATAGTGGTAAATGAGACGTTTTTGCAATTAAATTGATAAATGTGTCCTGAATTGAAAGTATGTCATGGGAGGTAACTCTTATTTTGACTCTAGGCAAATCACTTTTTTTTCTCTTCGAAGTTTCTGATTTCACACATGTCTCTGTTGTCACGGTATATTAATTTATAGCCATTTTGTTTATGTAATTTTGTTAAATTTTGCGAGCAGTACCTAAAAATATTTTAAAGAGTTTAATGCCCGCAATGAGAACTGTACTTTATTTTTATAAAACAATGTTTTGTTTCTGGTTTCCCCCCCCCCCCCCCCCATTTCAATCTTGTTGAATTGAAGTATGCTTTAAGGTCTACATTGGTGATAAACCTAAGTGGTAATGCAGTTTTGCATTTCTTATTTTTAAATTAATTGTTAGTGAAATAGCAAGACGAACCAGACTACATGACAGTCACAAACCTGGTTAACAAGCAGACAATGATGAAAGTTGCATATAAACATAATTTAATATCAATATTTTACCGTATACAGGCAGAGACGATTATACTACATACATGCTTATATGCCTCTGGTCCAGGTGTGACTCTATTGTGTGAATATATGAGTGAATCAGCGACATATAACGTCTCTGGTGTGAATCTATTTTTTTCAATTTCAATAATAATGAAATATGGTTGAAAAGCTACTCTTCGGTATTTTTTTGAGTAAGATTGTGTTAATTTACTTGTTTTTGCTTTATTTTCTTTAACATTCTCGCTTTCAATGGATCATTGAGCCTAAAAGCAACGACGTCAAAAACCTCGCGATATGCATGCAATTTTTTTGTCCGGACATTAAACAGCTAGGTGGGTACACAGACACAGGTCCTCAAACAATATATTTATTCAGAGTCTTATAAAGCCTGCTATATTCCACCATAATATACAAACGTAATGTTGAATGAAGCTATTCTGTCATATGAAAATAAATTCAGCGACCTTGCGTGTCTAATTATCGATTTTGTTTACGCCAGTAGACCCATTTTTCGATGAAATTACCTCACCCTGCAAAGTTAATGATCAGAGTTATCGCCCTTCATTATCATCTCATTTCCTGTTTATTGCAAGCACGTGGATAAAAGTGAGAAGTGTCAGAAATGGGACAGAAAAATCGTAATGCAAGAGTCGTTCCTCGTTCTAAGAATGTCGGAAGGAAGAAATGGAAGAAAGGCCATAGTAGCAGTAGTAATCCAGAGACGAAAATATTCAGAGAGGCTGCGAAAAGTAGATTTTTCAACAAACAATCAGGTTTGTGTTGATCAATAAACAGTAAAGATAATTGGATAAAGATAAAGGGTTTTTACTTTTGTCGAATGAGTTTAGGTGCGTTGGATTGTTAGTTTTGTTAATAAATCTTGTATAGCTTTATTAATAAAACTGGCGTTCAAGCACATCTTTAAACAGGTTGGGCACAACGGCGCATATGGATAATAATCCTGCATTTGGGTACCAGTTTAATACCCATTTCAGTAATAATTTTATTACTGAAATGGGGAATAAAGTGAGAAAAAAATCACACAATGTTCTTTTAAACACTTGGAGCAAAAAGGGCATTATTCTTTCAACTGTATCCGATAAATAACATAATGATTGAAGTATATTTGAGTAACAATTTTATTACTGAAAAAAAGTTAGAAAAAGTTAGACACCTGGTCGTCGATGATCGACCCTGTCCAGTTCTGCTACACTGATAAACAAATACCACCAAACTCATAAACTAAAGGACTAAAACTGTAAAAAAAATAGGTCTAGCAAAGCATTGTACTCTGTATAATGAGATGGTTTTCTTTAGAGATTTTATAGTTTTAAAGGAATGCTGACAAATAAACTAACAGTAACATTTCTATTCAACACTGTCTGGTCTGTTGTTTCTAGTACGCAGCAGTCTGCAAATATTTTATCAATAAAAAAAATCTGAACTGATTTTCTGTTCAGCTCCTTGTTCAAAACTCAACTGCTTTACTCTGTTGATATACACAATTTCTTTTGTAAATACTGTGTCTGACTTTACGTTCGTTTGAACACCATGCAGTCAGCTGTATTACTTGAATAATATTACTTGTTTTATTACATAGGCCCAAGCTCGTTGACAGAAGGTGCTCTTGCTAAACATAATGAGGGTCAGGTGGATGGTGATGCCATTCTGTCAGACGATGAATCAGACAGACAGACAGCGGGAGGAAAGACCTTTAACACGTGGGCAACAAACTGGACAGATTGTACCAATGTCACATTCAACAAAGTCCATCGATATTGGGCCTCAAACTCAGCCCTACACAAAGAGGTACTGTTGGTATTCCATCTCTCATGCATGCCATACATGTCAACTCTCCCATTTTCAGTGGGATATTCCTAACATTTTTAGCCAAAATCAACAAAACTCCGGTTGCAGCTGTAAAAAATGTCAAACTTGAAAGTTGAAAACACACAATTTCTATAAAAACTCTTGTTTCAGCTGTAAAAAATGTCAAACTTGAAAGTTGAAAACACACAATTTCTATAAAAACTACTGTTTCAGCCCAATATAATCAAATAAAGAGTTTCTGGCATTGTCATGGCAGTGTTTCAGGGTCATACAACCTGATAATTTCAAGTTTTTTTTTATCATGTCAGTCACTACCTTCCTCATTTCAATTGATACGTATGAATTAAATTCATACCCAACATGTGGATATTTATTTCTCAGCTAGGGAATATTGCAAGGTATCACAAGTATCAATAATTATTTGAGTCAGCTGCTGTACCTCAGGGGAGCCAGCTTTTGTCTCGTACACAAACCTAGTAGCATCCCGAATATCAAAGAAGTGGTTACAAAGTTAATGTTCGGATATTGGCTATGATCAGTCTTGATGGCTGCAACATACTCTGTCACTTACAATTGCTGAATTTTGTATGCCAGTACTGGTACCTCTTGTTATGGCAGAGTGCAGCCTACTGAAATCAGGTCTAGTTCCCCACCATATTACTGAGTTATGGCCCTTTGTTCAACATTTATCTCTATGTCCAAAGCTTTACTGCTTATCTTATATACCCTGTCACCTTCTATTGTCAAATTTTGCCTGTGAGTACCTCTTGAGATAGCAGTGTCAAATACATACTGAAATATTTACAGGTCATGTGCCCCATTATATACAGAGTTATGAGCCTTTATTCATGTGTACTTATGCCGTACTGCGGTGTCGGTTTTCCGGCTGTCAACTTTTTGTTTTGAACGACTTCTTATGAAGAACTGGAGGACCTAGGCTCATGATATTTGGCCAGTAGATACCTGAGATAGAGTGCTATACAGTTCCCTCATTAAAATAACCTTGACCTACTTTCAAGGTCACTGGGGTCAAATATGTTAAAAATTTCAAACAACAATATCCTAAGAACCATTTGGACTAGAGTCCAAGTTATTACAGTAATGAGGTCAATGGTCAACTTTAAGTGCAAGTCGAGAGTCAAAGGTCAATGTGGGTTAAAAGCTTTAAAATCAAAATTCCAAATATCAAACAACAATATCTTCAGAACAGTTTAAGAGATGTTAAAATGTCGTGTGTTCTAGTTACCAAATTTGGTCTTAAGTTACCTACCAGGTATATGTCAGTTTCGTGTAACAAATGAAACAGGTGAGTGATACATGCTGTCTGGGCCTCTTGTTTTAAGTCCTAGTTTGTTCAGAGGTGGGGAAGATTGATTGTTATAATTTGCCTTGTTATTCATGACATAAGACATGTTTTATATGTGATCTTGATTAAACCTTTTCTCTGTTTTCTATGGTTTTATAGATATTGGCAATCCTGGCTGCTGTAACAGAAGTCATCAAGTCCCAAGGCGGAACAGAAACAGAAACCGAATACTTTGCTGCCCTGGTAAGATAATCATCCAAATACTGTGTTTAATTTCATACAGCATTAAATAGGTAGACTGTTATGACCTAGACCACAACACGACTCCTATGTCTTCTACTTAGTAGAATTCTTAGTCCTGACTTTGTTGTTTTTAGGTCACCTGGGCCCACTTGTATAAAACATATCAAAGTTAAGGAAAATCTCGAGCAATGTATTGCCTATGGGAAATCTTAGACTTGAGGAAATCTCAAGAGTTTAGATGCTTTATACAAGTGGGCCCAAAGCTTTAGCTCAAGTGACCTATTGCTATCCGTCATCCATCGACCGTTAACATTTTCAACTTAAGCTGAAATACTGGCAAAGGGATTTCATTGATACTTCATGGGAATGTTAATGACAACTCCCTGACCAAGTGTTGTTATATTTTGGGTCGATCAGAAATCCAATATGGCCACCAAGGCCACCATTTTGAAAAACTATTTCAAACTTAAAGTCAAGTTCTACTGAGCCAATTTAACTGAAACTAGGTAGGAATGTTCAACTCATGGTCCTGACAAAGTGTCGTTCATTTTTGGGTCGATCAGAAATCCAATATAGCCACCATTTTAAAAAACTATTTCAAACTTAAAGTCAAGTTCAACTGGGCCGATTTAACTGAAACTTGGAAGGAATGATCAACTCATGGTCCTGGCAAAACTTCACTTAAAGTTATACTTAACTTTTTTTAAAGCAAATTTTGGTAGGGATGATTGACATCATTATCTCCACTTCATATTTCAACAACAAAACTTAATACTGTTGGACTCAGGTGACCGTTAAGGCCTATGGGCCTCTTGTTTTGGGACTCAGCATATTTTGCAATTCTGTGCTTGGAAGTTTTATTCGTCAAAACCATTTCTGTAATGAACAGAACAGGGATGATTTTTAATGGTAAATAATTTGTCGTCAAAAATATCTTTTATGAGGGCAAGGATAAAATGAGTTGCACAAAACAGGTATGGTATGTCCAGACTATACAGATCAAACAAGTAGTTCTTTCAATTATAGACTATTTAACAGAATGTTGATGGATTCTTATTTACTAGTCATAAGTAATATTGTTGAGAGTTTCAGGATGGATTGAACTCAGCTGAAAATATGACCATATATGTAGACAATATAAAATGTGTAAAGCTGCTGGGGTTAAACTGTGTTGTATAAACTATGTGTTTATTTTTGTATTTTACAGATGACAGCATTAGAGACCACAGAAGGACTTGACTCTCTCACAGCAATAACTTACCTACTCAACATTGTTCTGAAAAGGTTAGTGTAACAACAATACTCATTCTTCACCTTAACCCTCTCACCACTGTAGACCATAATGGACTTGTCCAGATCAATGCACGGGAGAGTCTACTAAAGTTGCATAGGGATGAAAGGGTTAAACGGTCAGTGACTCAACATTTACACATTGATGATAAATAGTACATGGGGTAAATGTGTCTTAATATTGCTGCCATTACTTTATTAATAACTGATGATGTCCAGAGTTTTAGTTGTCTTGTAAAATTTGGGAGGTCCTGTTTTGTTGAAGTTCATACTATTTGAGTTTCAGTGTACAATTTGAAGGAGATCTAACTATATTATATTTTGGCATAAACAGTTATATGCAATAGATTATTTAACATGTACATTTTAAGTATAAAAGGCTATATTTTTTCTTTATTTGATTTCAGAGTACCACCAACAGTACTGCGCAGTAGATTTTCAGAAGTTGCTAGGCAACTGTTGGATGTCATGGCAACCCATGTTGATGGAGAATCAACTTCACTCCTAAAATCGGTATGTCATATCAATGAAAATGTTAAGTTTAAAGATAATTACCCATAAACTACATGTGTAAGTCAGACATAACAAGGATACCTATTACCAGGATTTACCCATGTTGATAAGTTAATCCATCTATGCTAGATATTTGAGAAAATAGCATTGTAGACTCCTGATTTTGGTATGTGAAATTTAGCACTTCCTACCAGTGATTTACCAAGCTATCCTCATGTTCAAACATCTATTGATTTCATCTGAAAGAACAACTTAAATTATATCCTACTAAAAGGTTCTTTTGACCCTGGGTAGTATATATACACATTTGATTTATGTTTTTATTTTTGGGCACACAGCAGATTCTCTCCATGAAAATTTCAAAGGTTGATTACAGTAAACCTTCGGTCAGTTCTAACAAAATTAGATAAATATTGATGAACCTGTTTGAATTATACGAAATTATGCTTCAGAAAATAAGCGTGAGTTCGAACTATCGGCAAAATATTTGACAAAGTGTCGATCAAGGCACAAACATATAAGCCCGACATATCCAATGTAAGGTCGATACGTAATAACGACGGCCTGGCATAGAACAATGGCACATTTATAAATGGGTAAAATGATAGTATATTATTTAATTCAATGTTAAGTGATAATTTTACTTTCTTCATTTCGTGATCATTATGATCTTGATTGCGAAGCAGAGGCCATTGGGTAGGCCCCAAAACAGTACACGTTTCATTTGTTACACAAAAGTTAGACTACCTTGTATCAGAGACCTAAATATGGAGTCTCTGCATGGTTATATGTTTCATTTGAATAAGAAACTATTGTATATATTATTTCGTAATGAATGGTCCGTTTAATAAATTGAAAAACATAGTCTACATAACCTGTTGCATTTACGAAAGCGCTACTCTAAATATAGGTCTATATGTTATTAAAATTAGGTCAGAACATCAACATGTCTGCTTTTAAATTATAAGTAATAGTCCTAATATCTACCAAACTTATTTGACACCTTCAAAATTACCCATCGCTAATTGGATTGTTTGGACTGGACATGAATGCTAATCACGTGCACAATGTATTTTTCAAACAATGTAAAAAAACGAATCAACGCTAAAATCTGTGACATATATTTATAGTTTGTCTGTCACAGCTGTACTGCAATGCTCACACATACAACCCATTACCCTAAACGTGCCTGTTGATCAAAGTATTGGCATTTTTTCCAGGGCCGATCGCCGCGAGCTTTCAATGAAGTTTGTCGAAAAAAAATCTTACTTAACTTTACGTTCTTCATTTGACAAGTTTGGACTATCCGAAATAGGATCAATTATAAACAACCAGAGTTTGAACTATCACTAGCTAGAAAATTATTGTTTTTATTGAAAAAAATAGGTGTTCAAACTATCTGCCAATTCGAACTGACCGGAGGTTTACCGTAGTATGTATTTAGATGTGATTTGGAGTAAGTATGATACATGGGAGAAACACAGACAGTGTAGTAGATCTAGATCCAAATGTCAAAAAGGGAGGTCCAGAAGGTGAACTAAAATAAGGATTCAATGCCATGTTGGCTAAGTTGACTGTTGTGTTGTTGCAGCTGATTATGTCACTAGCAACGCTGCTGCGAGTTCAGGAGCCAGCTGTATGGTCAAACTCGTCCACTCACAGGATTTACTCCGGCCTCCTCACCTTCACCACTCACAAAAAACCCAAGGTAAGTATATCACTCCTTTCTCTGCAAGTTAGTGAGGGGTGTAAAGGGGGTGGTGTCAGTGTTCAGTGTAAATAGAGGATCTGACATTAATTTCCACTTTGTAGAAAACATGTTGAAGAAGTTTTAATTTTAATGAGCCTCCTGTGACCTGCAATTAAAAATTGTGACCATTTTCAAAAATATAATATGAAATGAAAATGAATGTAAAATCATATGTCTACACCTGAACAGGTCCGGAAGGCTGCCCACCAGGGTGTGTGTATAATACTGAGGGGTAGCCTGTTTATGACCCAGGGAGATCCTCCACCTCATCACCCAGCAGCCTCCATCACGGCCAAATTCTGCATCCAGAAAGTTGAGGAGTGTGGAGGTAATAGTGGTATACATATAGCAATATATAAAATTTCACAACAAAATACTGTAACGGATTAAAACATTTTCTGTTTCCAAACTACTCATTAAAATTTTCTGTGATTCCAAAAGGTTGTATTATTCTAGTAACAATTTGAGTGTAAAAGGACTCATGTTTGCAGAGGCTGTTATTTAGTATTGCATGTTCCAACCTGCCTTAAATATTAATATTGCAGTACTGTTTTAATAATAATAATAATACATATATACCGCTTTATCACAACCTAGTTCGTAGGTCGTCTCAAAGCGGTTCACAAATTATTATCCATGAACATTTAGAATATCACATGTATTTTACTTATGTTTGTCTGTAAGAAATGGGTACATTGTCCAAGACTTGATAAAAACTCAACCTTTTAAAAACAATATGTATCATATTTATATTGGTTTTTTTTTTATCTCATGTAAAATCATGTAGAGTTGTAAGTACTTGTGGACCCGACTCATGAATTTGGTCGACAGCTCAGGGCTACAAGAGGAGAAGTGATCATCTATTGTTAATGTTAGATTTTATTTGAGTATGTGACATTTCAGGTTCTGGAGATGCGACAGACACTCTACACACCCTGTCCTTACTGAAGGAGGTGGTGGGGCTCCTTCCCCAGCATAGTACCAAGTCTGTGTGTGAAACTATACTGAGACTGATGACCCTCAGTAACCCGGTAAGTAGTGTGGGACCATACTGAGACTGATGACCCTCAGTACCCAGGTAAGTAGTGAGAGACTATACCGAGACTGATGACCCTCAGTAACCCGGTAAGTATTGTGGGACTATACTGAGACTGATGCCCCTCAGTAACCAGGTAAGTAGTGATAGACTATACTGAGACTGATGACCTTCAGTAACCCGGTAAGTAGTGTGGGACTCTACTGAGACTGATGACCCTCAGTACCCCAGTAAGTAGTGAGAGACTATACTACACCCTGTCCTTACTGAAGGAGGTGGTGGGGCTCCTTCCCCAGCATAGTACCAAGTCTGTGCGTGAAACTATACTGAGACTGATGGCCCTCAGTAACCCGGTAAGTAGTGTGGCACTATACTGAGACTGATGACCCTTAGTAACCCGGTAAGTCGTGTGAGGCTATACTGAGACTGATGAACCTCAGTAACCAGGTAAGTAGTGAGATACTATACTGAGACTGATGACCCTTAGTAACCCGGTAAGTCGTGTGAGGCTATACTGAGACTGATGACATTTCAGGTTCTGGAGATGCGACAGACACTCTACACACCCTGTCCTTACTGAAGGAGGTGGTGGGGCTCCTTCCCCAGCATAGTACCAAGTCTGTGTGTGAAACTATGCTGAGACTGATGACCCTCAGTACCCAGGTAAGTAGTGAGAGACTATACCGAGACTGATGACCCTCAGTAACCATGTAAGTAGTGAGATACTATACTGAGACTGATGACCCTAAGTAACCCAGTAAGTAGTGAGAGACTATACTACACCCTGTCCTTACTGAAGGAGGTGGTGGGTCTCCTTCCCCAGCATAGTACCAAGTCTGTGCGTGAAACTATACTGAGACTGATGGCCCTCAGTAACCCGGTAAGTAGTGTGGCACTATACTGATACTGATGACCCTCAGTAACCCGGTAAGTATTGTGGGACTATACTGAGACTGATGCCCCTCAGTAACCCAGTAAGTAGTGTGGCACTATACTGATACTGATGACCCTCAGTAACCCGGTAAGTAGTGGGGGACTATACTGAGACTGATGACCCTCAGCAACCCAGTAAGTAGTGTAAGACTATACTGAGACGGATGACCCTTAGTAACCCGGTAAGTAGTGTGGGACTCTACTGAGACTGATGACCCTCAGTAATCAGGTAAGTAGTGAGAGACTATACTGCGACTGATGACCCTCAGCAACCCAGTAAGTAGTACGAGTCTATACTGCGACGGATGACCCTTAGTAACCCGGTAAGTAGTGTGGGGCTATACTGAGACTGATGACCCTCAGCAACCCAGTAAGTAGTACGAGTCTATACTGCGACGGATGACCCTTAGTAACCCGGTAAGTCGTGTGAGGCTATACTGAGACTGATGAACCTCAGTAACCAGGTAAGTAGTGATAGACTATACTGAGACTGATGACCCGCAGGAACCAGGTAAGTAGTGAGAGACTATACTGCGACTGATGACCCTCAGCAACCCAGTAAGTAGTGTGAGACTATACTAAGACTGATGACCCTCAGTAACCCTGTAAGTAGTGTGGGACTATACTGAGACTGATGGCCCTCAGTAACCCAGTAAGTAGTCAGAGACTATACTGAGACTGATGACCTTCAGTAACCCGGTAAGTAGTGTGGCACTATACTGAGACTGATGACCCTTAGTAACCCGGTAAGTCGTGTGAGGCTATACTGAGACTGATGACCGGTGGTGGGGCTCCTTCCCCAGCATAGTACCAAGTCTGTGTGTGAAACTATGCTGAGACTGATGACCCTCAGTAACCCGGTAAGTAGTGGGGGACTATACTGAGACTGATGACCCCCAGTAACCCAGTAAGTAGTGAGAGACTATACTGCGACTGATGACCCTCAGCAACCCAGTAAGTAGTACGAGTCTATACTGCGACGGATGACCCTTAGTAACCCGGTAAGTAGTGTGGGACTCTACTGAGACTGATGACCCTCAGTACCCCAGTAAGTAGTGAGAGACTATCCTGAGACTGATGACCCTCAGTAATCAGGTAAGTAGTGAGAGACTATACCGAGACTGATGACCCTCAGTAACCCGGTAAGTATTGTGGGACTATACTGAGACTGATGCCCCTCAGTAACCCAGTAAGTAGTGTGTGACTATACTGAGACTGATGACCCTAAGTAACCCAGTAAGTAGTGAGAGACTATACTGCGACTGATGACCCTCAGCAACCCAGTAAGTAGTGTGAGTCTATACTGAGACGGATGACCCTTAGTAACCCGGAAAGTAGTGTGAGGCTATACTGAGACTGATGACCTTCAGTAACCCGGTAAGTAGTGTGGGCCTATACTGAGACTGATGACCCTCAGCAACCCAGTAAGTAGTACGAGTCTATACTGCGACGGATGACCCTTAGTAACCCGGTAAGTAGTGTGGGCCTATACTGAGACTGATGACCCTCATTAACCCGGTAAGTAGTGAGAGACTATACTGCGACTGATGACCCTCAGCAACCCAGTAAGTAGTGTGAGACTATTTTTATTTGAGTATGTGACATTTCAGGTTCTGGAGATGCGACAGACACTCTACACACCCTGTCCTTACTGAAGGAGGTGGTGGGTCTCCTTCCCCAGCATAGTACCAAGTCTGTGTGTGAAACTATACTGAGACTGATGACCCTCAGCAACCCAGTAAGTAGTGTGAGTCTATACTGAGACGGATGACCCTTAGTAACCAGGTAAGTAGTGTGAGGCTATACTGAGACTGACGACACTCAGTAACCCAGTAAGTAGTGTGTGACTATACTGAGACTGATGACCCTTAGTAACCCGGTAAGTAGTGTGGGGCTATACTGAGACTGATGACCCTCAGTACCCCGGTAAGTAGTGTGAGGCTATAATGAGACTGAAGACCCTCAGTAACCCAGTAAGTAGGGAGAGACTATACTGAGACTGATGACCCTCAGTAACCAGGTAAGTAGAACTAGTCACCACTCGTGCTCATCAATCAGCATGTCCCTGTCACTGACAAATTTTTTTCCCCATCTCACTTTAAATTCTAACATTCATTTTATCACCCGACCATACATATATCATTGATAAAGTACCTCACTATGTAATCCCCCTATGTATTCATATTTAGAATAGCTGTATTGTTTAAGTATCCTTGGTAAGCATGTTGTCTTTAATTACCAAATCAATTAGTTTTATTATCCTGTTAGTGTCATTATCATACTCATAGCTTTCAGGGATCTGTGCATTACTGCAAGTATTAAAATATATACCCCCATCAAGTTAGCAGTATTGTATATGTATGCATACTTGTGATCTTAGGGACTCCATAAACTGTATTAATATAGCCCAAATGTCAAACCCAATTGACTATAATTAGCATGTTTCAACCTCCAGGCTTGAAAGGTATAGCTATAACTTTCCTGACCTTCAAGTAACCCAAACAGTTAATATTGTGTGACCTTGGGACTTTAACAGTATCATTTTCATACTTAAGACTTTCAGTGAATTTGTCCAGCGACAATTTTGGAAGCTGTACTTGTAATCCTGATATTTGTTAGAAGACGGACATCTGATTCAAGTGTTTCTGTGATGATGTAATTACCAATTTTGTTTCAGATGGTGACTGCGAGTAGTATGCAGACGCTGCACGGTTTATTTTCTTCAAACCCCAAAATATCCAACTTTTCCTCCGAACTGAATGGACAGATAATTACAGTGAGTATTTTCATCAGAGATAGTTCCAAGGTCATGAAGTTTTAGTGAGTATCTTCTGCAGGTATAGTTCCAACAAAGTTTGACCTTGTGACTAGTCAAGGTCAAAATTAGATTATGTTTTTGCTACATGTATTAATAGTTTGGATTTGAGCGTTACTGTTGAACCAATAGCATTAACAGCAGCAGTGAAAGTTTAATGTTTCAATACATGTTTTGTGTATGTATGTGTTGTCTTGAAATAAAATATGGTTTTGCTGAATATAACTTTCATTAATACATTGATAAAATTTACAGTAAAATTGTCTTAAGTTTTTTAAGAGACACCAAATTATAATCTGAAATAAAACTTTAATTTACAATCTACAGTGAGCGTTTTATTTCTCACAGGCTCTATATGACTACCAGCCGTCGGAGAACGACGTACAACCCATGCAGGCGTGGCTTGTTGTCATGGAGAAGGCACACATCAACCTCGTCAAGTATGTCCCAAATATGTTTTGTAATAATATAGTACAAAATCATTGATCATAACTCTGAGTGCATCGTCACTATTAAAGATTGATAGGTGTCTATTGTTGATTAAATACATATCAGTATGACTAGGAATTCTTGTTCAAAGATACACTTTGAAAATTACATTATTTACTCTTTATCAAATAATAAACTACTCCAGGAATACTTTATTGCTGCAAATTAAGGTAGTTGGAATTAGCAGATTATAACAATGAAAATTGTACAACGAATGTAACCTGCCTAAACAAAAGTGACCAACAAGTTTCTGGATTAAACAGATTCAATTCACATACCATATTATGTAATGCAGTAAGATAGTATCAAAGGTTTAGTTTACACTAACTGTTAAAGCCCAAATTTATGAAGAAATTAACTACTCCTAAGTATCTAGTTGAAGGTCTGGTCCATGCCGATTTCCAGATTATAACGTGAGAAATCCTTGTTTGTAGACTTGATGAGAAGCTTGGCATCAGTCACTTGCCCCGTCTCTTCTCCACGGGAATGGCTAATTTATTGTCTGATAAAGAGGAAGTGACAGCCACTGCAGCCAAAACCATGAAGGTAAGACAAGTATAAAAAGACAGAATAATTAAGCAGGACTCTTGTCTTGTGAATTTATGATATTTTTGTAATTTTTAAAACTAAAATTGAGTTAATGGGTTTTACTCTATGACATAGAGAATTTAACAACTTGAATTGGTGTGTTTAATCATTTATCTCTTGGAAATTTGTTCATTGTGGCTTTTTGCATATTTACGTTTTTACCTTGTTATTGCAAGATGTGATAAATCTTTGCAACCAACCACTTTATATTTCATATTTGCTAATCATGTAATGTGAAGTACAGCTGATGATTAACATCTGTCCTTTTTGTAACTTTTTCACCATTTACAGCCTGACAGAAAAAGTTGCATGAAACACAGCATCAAAAATTTTGAAAATACATCATGTCAAATTCAACATGGTGAATACAATGTATATCTTTAAAAAACCCAGTGCGAAAATAAGAAGGCAATGTTCAAAATTCTGAGGTAAAATATTCCAGTATAGAATTGGCAAAGATTTGCTGTGTTTACAGAGTCTGCTAAAGACGTGTCTGGGTACGGTGTCTGACGGACTAGTGGGTGTGGTCAGGTCCGCCCCTGACGGGTCCCCCACTCCTATACATAAACTGGTGCGTGCGGTGGACACTGGCCTGAGCTACCAGTTCCATGCTTCGTGGGGACATGTCCTCAATATCTTCTCCATATTCTTTGAGGTAAAATGTACAAACCTTAGTCTCTGTAGACCTTAGTCTCTAGGTCTATGTAGACCTTAGTCTCTGTAGACCTTAGTCTCTGTGGACACTTGTGAATCGTCCCAAGTTTTCGTTGCTCTTTATTATTTCGATTCTGTTCTAATTTCTCGTAAAATTTATGCATAATATTTGAAAAGCAAAACAAAGTTTGAAAATGCTTTTAAAAGGTGTTACTTTAAAATTTTAAATGAAACATACCATATGTGTTTTAACATTAGAATTTATTTGGCATACCAAGGTACTCTGATATCTAATGCATTTGAAAGAAATTAGATCTAGTTGTATATCTTATGGTGTAAATATCAATTTTTATTTGTCATGGTAAATGAAGGAATAATTTGTAGAGAGCATTAAAAATACAGAATCTATCTGTTTTACAAATCTTCTAATTTTTACAAATTTCTGTTGTAGGTTTTTGGAAAGCAGTGCCCACAGCTATTTAAAAAAGTAAGTATAACATCTATTCGACAGCCTTTCTTCGTACTTCTACAAGCATGCAAAATGTATATGTGTGTCTTTCAATATGTCTAGGAAGATTGTGTTTACACTCAGAAGTGCTTTTTAGCATCTCCTTACAAGATTTAGTGAAGAAATCATTTTGATTATAAGACATGTTTTGGTCATTTTGTGTGTTTGTAGAGTTTGCCCTCCATAGCCAGCCTGCGAGACAGTCCACGGTTTGCCTACAAGGCGGAGCTTGACCATACATTTGGGTGTGCTGTTAAATACATGGGCCCCCGACAGGTACTACAGGTGGTGCCTCTCAACATCACAGGCGAAAAGTTAGTACTATCTTTATGCTTAGAGTCAAATTATAATTACACACATTTATGATTCTTAATTTTGTGTATGAATAGAACAATAACTGCATGTAATGTTATAATATAACCTTATCAGGATGACTGTGATTTTGCTTTGTACCCATATAATGATGACTACAATTTTGTGTAACCATAAAATGATGACTCTAATTAGGGCCCCGTATCAGAGATACGGGTGCCCTATAGTAATCACTCTGTCTGTCTGTCTGTCTGTCTGTCTGTCCGTCCACAAATTTTGTTCCTGGCTGATTACTTTGGTATCTATGGACCGATGTACATGAAACTTGGTCAAGATGTTCAGTTCACAAAAATACACATTGAGATAAAGGTCAAAGGTCAAGGTCATTAGGTTCAAAGGTCAAGGTCAAATTTTGCATCTTTTCACTGGTGAACATTTCACTATGACATTATGAAGCAAAGTTGATCAGAATTAAACAAGGAGTCGGCTGACCAAAGGTCAAGGTCATTTGGTCAAAGGTCAAGGTTAAATTTTGTTCCTTTTCACTGGTGAACATTTCGCTATGACACTTTGAAGCAATGTTGTTCAGAATTAAACAAAGAGACACACTAAGGCAAAAAGTCAATGTCAAAGGTCAAGGTCATTAGATTCAAAGGTCAAGGTCAAATTTTGCATCTTTTCACTGATGAACATTTTGTTATGACATGATGAAGCAAAGTTGATCAGAATAAAACAAGGAGTCGGCTGAGCAAATGTCAAGGTCATTGGATCAAAGGTCAAGGTTAAATTTTGTTCCTTTTCACTGGTGAACATTTCGCTATGACACTTTGAAGCAATGTTGTTCAGAATTAAAGAAGGAGTCAATTGACCAAAGGTCAAGGTCACTGGGTCAAAGGTGAAGGTTAAATTTTGTACCTTTTCCCTGATGAACATTTTGTTATGACATTATGAAGCAATGTTGTTCAGAACTTAACACAGAGTCAACTGACCTTAGGTCCAGGTCACGGGGTCCAACGGGTCAAGGTCAAGTTTTGTATTTTTCACTGATGAACATTTTGTTATGATATTAAGAAGTAAAGTTATTCTGAATTAAAGAATAAGTCAACTGACCAAAGATCAGGATCACTAGGTTAATGGTCAAGGTCATTTGGGTCAAAAGGTCAAAGACAAAGTGGATCTCTTGACTTTTACCCTGGCTCTTGAGAGAGGAGGTATATAAGGTGAAATAAAACAAATCAAAGCTAACAAATGAGTGTTGCACTGGTATTTACATTTCTGTTAGCCCAGCAAATATGGAGGTAGAAGGAAACTAGACTCACATCATAGTACATGTAAAATGTATATTTTGCTTCCTTGCGATTCTTTTTGAAGTCCAAATGTCAAACGTCAAGCTCAGCTATATGGGCAGATCGCTTCTTGATGATTATGGGGGATATATTGCCACAAGACGGGGCCCTTACTGACCTGTCAGTGTTCTAGTTTTGTTGTGTGCTCATATAATGATGACCATAATATTTTGTTTTGTGTACCCATATATTGATGACTGTTTTATTTATACAGTGATGACTACAGTTTTCCAACCAGCTGGATGATCCCAGTGATCCGAGATAATCTCTATAAAACAGAGCTAGGCTTTTTCACCTCCTACTTCCTACCACTGGCTGCAAAGTTTAGGCAGAGAGGTAAGACATGTCTCAAACTCAATATGTGTGAAATTAAAATGGCAGCATTTGATAATTTACTCGTAAGTGATACTTGTCGGCATAAAACAACTGGAGAAGAAAGAAAAGCACTGAACAGTGCTAAATTTCAGGCAGAAATGTTAGACCATTCACGGACTTGCTACAAAAATCAAATACAGGTTAATGTAAAAGTCTTTTATGTCATAGTCCCTTATAATTAGTTTTACAGAATTTGTGGGATCTACTTTTTTGCGGATTTCAGGTGTATTGGCCATATGCTAAATACAGTAAGGATGGGTTGATTTCACAGGTTGTATTGTGTTGTGGAAAATGTTTTCCTCGATAATTACAACCCCCACAAAAAACAATCTGTACAATTATTTGTTACTAGATGAGTATAAATATAGATTTGATAAATTGTCACTGGATGGATGCTATGTTTACACAGAAAGACAAGAAAATTCATACAGGAAAAGTTAACTAAGGAGGCTCCACCCTTTCGCAATTAGCCAGCAGAATTCAATGAAAGTTTCACATAATGGTTATGTCACTATGTAGAGATGATTTTATGAAAATCTAAGCATTCCGATAAACTGGGGATTCTTTTGTAAAAAATACTGGAAAAATTGAATTTTTGTCAAATTCAACACTTTCACATTTTTTGAGCATGTGGCATTGTTTAAAACTATAACAACAATAAAATAATGAAAAGAAACATTGCTCATCAAGCCTACAAATATTTTATTTATCATAAAATATCTACAACATGTTACAAAAAGCGTTTTTTATTGAAATTGTATGGATAAAAGATACTAAATACAAGTTAAAAGCAAACCAAATACACACAAAGTCTTTATTATTAATTTATTTTACATTTTACAATAATTTTGATCCTGGTGAGAGTTGTCTACCTTGAAAAAAATCGGAACTTTTAGCAGAGGGATAGAATTTATACAATGACACTTATTTTCTTTACTATACCAAAAACAACGGAAATAAATTAAATTACTATATTCAATTGTCAATTTACTGTTCTTTTATGGAACAAATTACTCTCAATCATGTACACTTTGGACATCATTCCAAAGCCCGCTTACACATGGTATATTAACATGTCGGGTACATATGTAACCATAGGCTATCGCATGGTATGCCGTTATTACGTGCACGCACATGCACTTGCATTTTATAGGGATCTTGATATTTTACAAACCACTATTTTCACAGAGTTATTGTAATTGCATTTGTGAACTGATTTATCTGACAGAAGGTAAATCGCTCGACAACAAAAATCGTAGCGACCAAGAGCTTGTGAACTACTGTTAGCACGTGATACGTACAGGTGAGGTCGGTAAACAAAACACATCTGTCTGCATTCCATGAGCCTCATATACGACCTTCTTGAAGTCGTCTGATCGTATGTCAGTGTCTTTTCGTGAGTTAATTAATGCCTTTGTATCATAAGCTTTATTGTAGAAGTACGTGTGATTACACATTACCAAGTTAAGTCTCTATATCGGGTGTTGACATATCATCGTCACGCACATGTACTATTGTTTACCCGGTGTTACTAATGATTTACACTACGGTAATGGAGTGCTCGATACACAATACGGAAATGACGACACGAAAATACGACAAGAAAAACATGTGTAATACGAAGGGTGGGAAGTCCTTACAGAGAGCATCTAGTGTGTTAGCCATTGGGTGTCATTAATTGATGCTATAATAAGCATTGTTATTACAACGTGTCTGGTGTAATAAACAGACGAAGACAGATATAATGTTGAATCCTCTTTCTAAAAAAGTAAAAACACAAAGGGATTCAGTTCTCTATATTAGGGTATATGACTTCCTAAAATGGCTTTTGACCTTTAAAATTTTAGAGGCTTGCTCTATAAAGGGGTCAGAATTTGTGATTTATGCCTGATTTTTGTTGTATGTTTGTATGTCGCTTCATCCTGTTGGTGTAGATCATTTATATAACTGACCAATTTGTTTGACTCCAGCTCTGGAGGGCAATGATGGAGACAGTGTTGTGGTGAAGAAGTCGTACGAGGCTCTCCACCTACAGATCTGGTCCATGTTACCAGGGTTCTGTACCAAACCTACAGACCTCACACAGGTAAGGTTCACGATAGTCTGTATGTCATACTGAGGGGTTAAATATCAGATCTAGTTTCTATTTTTTTTATTGTAGCAATTAATAATAGGATTGGGTTATTTCAGATCTAGTTAACTTTCACAAGGAATACTTTTATCATTAATGTTTACATTGCTGGATATAAGAGTATTCTACTATGTGTGAGAGATTTTATATTTATATACATTATTTACATAGTTACACAGTGCTTTTGTAATGTTAATATAGAAAATGTTGTGTCAGTTACAAATTGTTAGCTCACCTGCCCAAAGGGCAAGTGAGCTTATGCCGTGGCGCAGCGTCCGTCGTCAACTTTTTCTTTAAAACCTATCTCCTCCTTAACAACAAAGAGGATTTCAACCAAATTTAGTCTGAAGCATCACTAGGGGAGGTCAATCATTTCTTAAATAAATGAGGTTGGTTCGACCCCTGAGACCAGGGGGGCGGGGCCCTGAAGAGGAACTTAGCTAAATTTGCTATAAAATGCATCTCCTAAATGCCAGTGAGGATTTCAACCAAATTTAGTCTGAAACTTCATTGGGGGATAAATAAATGAGACTTGTTTGACACCTGGGGCTAGGAAGACCAGGCCCCAAAGAGGAAAATTATCTAATATTTTGCTTTTAAGACGCTAATACCCCCTAATTGCCTGAGTGGATTGTATAAAATTTGGTCAAAAACGTTATTGAGGAAGAACAAACATTTCTTAATAGAATGAGGTTGATTGGACCCCTGCGGTCCTAAGAAATGGTACAGCTAGATTATCATATTCTATGGTGTAGTTTTCATAAATTGTTTAAAATTGGTTTCTAGGTTTATAAAAACTTACAGTTGAATGAAAATTGAAGAATTGTCTAATTACACCCTGTAATATGCATATTACTTATTTCAAAATCTGTTAACATGGCAACTCAATGGAGGCCCCTGATTAGTTAAAAGTCAGATGTTGTGGTTCCAGTTGGGTTAGAACATAGATCTTGTCTTGTTTTGAGAAAATTTCATATAAAGATGTACTAATGCATTCAGTTGTATTGACTTCAATATAAAACCAGGTGAGCGATACAGGTCCAATGGACCTCTTGTTTTACTAAACAATCTTATTTGTAAAACCATATCACTGGAACATTAAGATACAGTCACTTCCGTGTTTTGACAACTGAAATGGTCGTAAAACCTGTTTTCTCTTTATGTCACGTTCTGGTTAATCTCATGTTTTCTCTGACTAATGAGAAGTAATATTAAGCGAAATCTATGGTATTGTATTTTCATCTTGATGATATTTGTCAGAATTCAGGCATCACAACCGCTTGTAAAAAAGTGTGATACAGTATGTGTACTGTCCTTATGTGTTTCTCAACATAAGTGTACGCTTCGTCTGGAAGATTGAAAATTTGTCGTTTTGTGTCTTATATATGTTATGTTTTTCCTTTTTTTTCTCAGTCTTTTAAAACAATCGCCAAGGTCCTGGGTACAGCCATCAGTGATTGGCCAGGTCTTCGTATGGAGGTGATGTCATCGCTAAGGAAACTTATCAACCAGAGTAAAGAAGATGGTAGGGACACTTGTACTTAGTTTACTGTTTCACTGTAGTTAACAATTGTCAACCAGAGTAAAGAAGATGGTAGGGACACTTGTACTTAGTGTACTGTTTCACTGTAGTTAACAATTGTCAACCAGAGTAAAGAAGATGGTAGGGACACTTGTACTTAGTTTACTGTTTCACTGTAGTTAACAATTGTCATATGATCTTACGCTTAGCTGATGTGTAAACATAAAACCCAAAGTCAACATCTTATTCCACCTAACAGCATATTCCAAATCTTGCAATCTGATTAAAATCATATGTTACATGGGTTTGTTGACTTCATACTACGCCTGAACATCTGAGTGTGCCGCGGTCAGGGTCACGTTCAGGTGACCTTTATATTTATAAATACTCATTAAATTTTGACCAATCAGAGACCCTCTTTCAAAAGGGCGCTCGGAGTTGTAACAAATATGGCGGAAATTGATGAGAATGATGCGGAAGTTCTGAAGTTATTTGAGAAAGACTATGGTGGTGTTGCCTACGCAATTAATACCCAATGGGTGCATTTTCCTTGGCGTCGTAGAAACGTCAGTTCCCGCCACCAAATTTGTTTTGGAAAACTAATCTGTTCGATACCCCTCACTATTTATCTATCAACCATGATATTCCGATTCGCTGGCAAACTTTTGCCAGCGCGCCTCTGATTGGTTCATCTAAAGGTCACTTGAACGTGACCCTGACCGTGGCACATTCAGATGTTCAGGCGGAGGCATGTAACAGATGATTTTAATCAGATTTCAAATCTTGTAAGCACCCCACAACGTTTTACAATCCAAGTGTCTCATCTCTGCACCATTATTAACCCTTTTACCCCTATGTAACTTTAGTGGACTCTTCCATGCATTGATATGGATGAGTCCATTATGGACTACGGTGGTGAAGGGTTAACAGACATTTTTAAAATTGTTTTATGACTATTATATTTTTCAGGGGCGGGAGGGGTATTTTGAATGTTCCGATATCATTCTAATTTTTCAAAATTTTGTTCAGGGTTCTGATAAATGTTAGACTGAGAAAAGTACAGTTTTTCACACATTTTCCTATCCTGGAGAGGAATGTTTTATAGGGTTAAAGATGTAAGACGAGTTATATAGAGTTTATTCCTGTTTGGATTCATGAACTTTGGAATGGAAATCAAGATAAAAAAAACTCATTGTTCCAAAATTGTACTATTGATTGGTTCTTCAGGTACCCATACATTTCAACTAAACAGATTCATTGGAAAGATTGCATTACTCACATATGTAGTAGTCTGTCAAAGGTAATTAGGAGAATATTATTCATTTCCAGAGTCCAGTAAAAAGGCAGTGTCACAATTTGCAAAGAATTTCCTTCCTATCTTATTTAACCTGTTTACTGCTGACCCTGAGAAAGATAAAGATCCTACACGACTGGCAGTGCTGGAGACAGTCAAATGTTACCTACAGGTCGCTGATTCTCAGGTGAGTCAAATGTTGCCTACAGGTCACTGATTCTCAGGTGAGTCAAATGTTACCTACAGGTCGCTGATTCTCAGGTGAGAAAAGTTACCTACAGGTCACTGATTCTCAGGTGAGAAAAATTACCTACAGATAACTGTACTCGGGTGATAATTATTACCTACAGATAGCTGATTGTTAGGTGAAAATATTACTTACAAAGAGCTGATACTCAGGTGAAAAACATAACCTATAGAAAAGATAGCCGATTCTCATGAGAGAAATGTTATTTACAGATATCCGACACTCCGGTTAGAAATGTTACCTACAAATATCTAATACCCCGGTTAGAAATGTTACCTACACATATCTGATGCCCCGGTTAGAAATGTTACCTACAAATATCTAATACCCCGGTTAGAAATGTTACCTACAAATATCTGATACTCCAGTTAGAAATGTTACCTACACATATCTGATACCCCGGTTAGAAATGTTACCTACACATATCTGATACTCCAGTTAGAAATGTTACCTACAAATATCTAATATCCCGGTTAGAAATGTTACCTACAAATATCTGACACTCCGGTTAGAAATGTTACCTTCAAATATCTGATACTCCGGTTAGAAATGTTACCTACAAATATCTAATACCCCGGTTAGAAATGTTACCTACAAATATCTGATACTCCGGTTAGAAATGTTACCTACACATATCTGATACTCAGGTTAGAAATGTAACCTACAAATATCTGATACTCTGGTTAGAAATGTTACCTACAAATATCTGATACTCCGGTGAGGACGGATATCTATTCTCAGGTAAGAAATTGACTGTTTTACTAGTCTCAGGTGAAAAACATAATACATTCATTTTGCTATTCTCAATTGAGAAATATTACCTACAGAATTTCCTGTGAGCTGATTCTGATATTGATATAACAAACGGTCTGTCATTTACAATTCACCTGTACTTATTACAGGATATCTTAATTACTGACTAAGTTTCAGCAATTCTGTTACCTCAATTATTGACTCAGTTTCAGCATTCATGTGAATTTCATTTTAAGCAATTTCTTATAACGCCTACCATAGTTGATAAAATTGATATAGAAATATATTTTCATTTTTTCAGCTTGTGCTTTCTTTCTGTGATAAGTGTATGGGCAAGCTTGAAGAAGAAAATATCACTTCATTTAGAAGGTATGGATTTGCTATTGGTTTACATTCTGAATGATTCAGAAGGTAAAGACTTCTACTATAGCTATCAGTTAAAATTTCATATCATTGATTAATAAATGCAAAATTGATAACTTTTATTTTGAAATAAAAAGTCAGATCTTTTTAAAAAAAATTTTTTTTAATTTTTGACCATTTTATATTGCTTTTATGATTTCATTTAAAGGACTGGTAAGATTTTCCTGACATTTTGTCAATCTACATTGTGTGAAGATCAGTTTACACATTTAAATTCTGATTGATACAGTACAATACAGATTTATGTTACAAACAAGTATCAATAAAAACTGAACAAAGTAATAAATACTTACATAACAATACTTACATTACAGACAAGCCTTACTTAACAAATACTTACATTACAGACAAGCCTTACTTAACAAATACTTACGTTACAGACAAGCCTTACTTAACAAATACTTATGTTACAGACAAGCCTTACTTAACAAATACTTACATTACAGACAAGCCTTACTTAACAAATACTTATGTTACAGACAAGCCTTACTTAACAAATACTTACATTACAGACAAGCCTTACTTAACAAATACTTACGTTACAGACAAGCCTTACTGGATCTGGTCATTGGCATGGTCTCCTACATAGACAACACAAGATTACGGTTAATGTTGGACTTCTGTAAAACTAATCTACAGGTATGTTGACAAGTCCACAGGTACCAGGTATGTTGTTTTGTGAGAGCTAATCTACAGATATGTTGTTTTGTGAGAGCTAACCTACAGGTACATTGTTTTGTGAGAGCTAATCTACAGATATGTTGTTTTGTGAGAGCTAATCTACAGGAATATTGTTTTATGAGAGCTAAACTACAGGTATATTGTTTTGTGAGAGCTAACCTACAGATATGATGTTTTGTGATAGCGAATTATCTACAGGTATGATGTCTTGTGAGAGCTAATCTACAGGAGTTTTGTTTTCTGTCACCTAATCTACAGGTTTGTTGTTTTGTGAGAGCTAACCTACAGATATGATGTTTTGTGATAGCGAATTATCTACAGGTATGATGTCTTGTGAGAGCTAATCTACAGGTAAGTTGTTTTGTGAGAGCTAACCTACAGATATGATGTTTTGTGATAGCGAATTATCTACAGGTATGTTGTTTTGTGTCACCTAATCTACAGATATGTTGTTTTGTGAGAGCTAATCCACAGGTATGTTTTGTGAGAACTAATCTACAGGAGTTTTGTTTTGTGTCACCTAATCTACAGGTATGTTGTTTTGTGAGAGCTATTTAATCTACAGGTATGTTGTTTTGTGAGAGCGAATCTACAGGTATGTTGTTTTGTGAGAGCTAATCTACAGGTATATTGTTTTGTGAGAGCTAATCTACAGGTATGTTGTTTTGTGTCATCTAATCTACAGGTATGTTGTTTTGTGTCACCTAATCTACAGGTATATTGTTTTGTGTCACCTAATCTACAGGTATATTGCTTTGTGTCACCTAATCTACAGGTATGTTGTTTTGTGAGAGCTATCACAAAACAACATACCTGTAGATGAGATGACACAAAACAACAAACCTGTAGATTCTCTCTCACAAAACAACATGCCTGTAGATTAGGTGATACAAAGCAATCTACAGGTATATTGGTTTGTGTCACCTAATCTACAGATATGTTGTTTTGTGAGAGCTAATCTACAGGTATGTTGTTTTGTGAGAGCGAATCTACAGGTTTGTTGTTTTGTGAGAGCTATTTAATCTACAGGTATGTTGTTTTGTGAGAGCTAATCTACAGGTACATTGTTTTGTGAGAGTTAATCTACAGGTATGTTGTTTTGTGAGAGCTAATTATCTACAGGTATGTTGTTTTGTGTAACCTAATCTACAGGTATGTTGATTAATAACAATGTATGAAGGTGATAGAGGGATTGTATATTAGTTATAGACAGGTATGTTAGTTACTTTCAAGGTTTAAAGATATGTTGGGTTTGACAATGTTTATTTTTATTAAATTACAGTAAAAAACTTTTTTTTTTTCCCTTTCTTCACCAGAACACAGATCGATCCCTCCAGAAGAAATGTTACCGTTACATGGAAGAGGTTTGTGCATGTCAGTGCGACACAACCCGACAGTTTATCCAGGACAACTTAGCCGAGGTCCAGGAGGTGTTGCTGTCCTCTCTGTCCACATCTAGTCCTTCCTCCAAGGCGGTATGTACGCTTACTCCAGTAAAATGTGTTTAGACCTTCCTCCAAGGCGGTATGTACACTTACTCCAGTAAAATGTGTTTAGACCTTCCTCCAAGGCGGTATGTAAACTTACTCCAGTAAAATGTGTTTAGTCCTTCCTCCAAGGCGGTATGTACACTTACTCCAGTAAAATGTGTTTAGACCTTCCTCCAAGGCGGTATGTACACTTACTCCAGTAAAATGTGTGTAATCTAAGCTGATGTCTACCGTGTAAAATATGTTTAGACCTTCCTTCAAGGATTGTGTAACCTTATGTAGCTGGTCGTGGCTTAAAGGTTCTTGTCCAACAATGATCAACACCTTCTTTCATTTCAATATCATTTATTCCGTGGTCGGAAGACCATCTTCAAAGGGAAGAGGGTCTTTTATCCAAGGGAGACAACCTGTACAGCGTATGTGGACTTTTAGGGTTATTCAAATAAATTATTGTGGTCTGTAGCCAAAAAGATCAAAACCATGCAAGTTTAGAATTCCGTCCACACAGGCTGAAAACTTGTACAGGTGTGAATAACATTTAACACAAACGCGACTCAACGCGAGCCGCGCACTGACCACTAACTGGCCACTACAAAGAGTTTTAAAAAATACATTAACAATACATCTAGACTAAAAATAGATCACTGTCATATATATATAAATATGACAAGTGCAAGAAAATTATAATACAAGTCACACTTATTAAGTATTGATAACAACAGCTAAATAATATGAACAATACATTGTCAATAATGACACTGTTACACTTACTCCAGTAAAACATGTAAAATATTGATGTTTCATACAAGCTGTACGAGTTCTTTCAAATTTGTAAGAAATACATTTTTGGTGTTTCTGTTTCAGCCTCGACTACGTTGCCTTATCAACATATTCCAACAATTAGGTGACGCTGAGCAAGACTTCCTCCTGGCTGTCGTACCTGAGGTAAGTGTTTTATCACTTGTCTGGGCTGTTACAATGTTGTTTGATGTGCATTGTTGAATTCAGTGGATATGATAACTATTGGACTTGTGGAGCTCGTTTTTTGCAAGATGGTGGTAATGCTGGTGTCTATTAGCCTTTTTTGGCCCGACAAAATTATAGTTGTGTTTCCTGTTTCAAGTTTGTTTGATAAAAATCTGCAAAATGTACTCATAAATCCTTTTTGCACTGTGATAAACCAAATAACCAGGTGTGTTTTACAGGCCATCACATAATATACCTTATGACCATGATCTTTCAGGCAATTCTGTGTACTAAAGAGCTAGCAGAGCGAGCGAGAACAGCAGCGTACGGTCTATTGGTGGAGATGGGGAAGGCTCAGATCAGATGGGCAGATAACTCTGATGCAACTCATCAAGGTGAGTCCTTTCCCTTCGTTTGTCATTGTGTTAGCATATATAATTACATGTATTTAGGTTGAGACTTTAAATGAAAATTATAAATTGAGTTTGATATATAGATTAAAGTAGTTGTGAGGTCAGAGTCAGGTCTTATGTTACGAATATATGTTGTCCTTTTTAGACAAGCTCTTTCAAGTAAACTTTCCTAAGCTGTGAACTTGATGAATTTAAGGGGGTATAAAAGGATGTAAAAATAGATCATGAATATATGCCTCCTCTTGTACCTTTGGATTGTGACATTAGCAGTTGATTTTAATGTCTGTAGTTGTAGATAATGATGTTAAACATACATCTACCGAGGATATCAGATATAGGATTCAGGTGGTAGTGTGTTGTTTTTTCAGGCTACATAATTACTGAAATAGCTTTGACCAAATCCAATGGCGTCTACTGCATACTATACAAGATTCCACAGAAATTTAATAGTTTTACTAGTAATGGGCTAATGATCAATTATAATCGAAAATCGATCAGTTTGCCTTTTCCGATTACGATTATCAATTACAAATTCCATAATTGATATAATCAGTTCATCAGTATTTAAATGTCTTCCATGTTAAGTATGCTTTGAAGTCATATAATCTTATGATTTATACTATATGATTGATAAAAGTGCATAAAAGTTACTTGATATACATACATTATAAAAGAACGAAACCTAATGTATAGTGAACCGCTCTGTTAAGATGTAATAGTAGTGTTCTCACTTTATTTAAGTATTCAGTCCCATAAAATTATAAACCGATTTTGCAATCGATCATTGATCGGTTCACTACTTACAAACCGATTATGATTTTAAACTGATTGCCCATCACCAAGAAAGTACACAGTATTAATGTATATTTAGCTTACCCGTACTCTTGACTTTTCTGTTTCATCCACCTATTGATATCAAACCTGTTTATTTGTTTTTGTTAGAGTATCTCCGACTGGAGACTTTTCTGTTCACTCTGTGACTAGTTTATTTTTGAGTACCTCCAGTTTGTAACTCTCTCTCACCAGCCGCTGTACATACCTACTTCCGGACCTTGATGGCTGGATTAGCCGGATCTCCCCAGATGATCAGTGCCACACTGCTCGCCCTTACCAGAGTTCTGTACGAGTTCAAAGGTAGGATCAATGCCTGTACCGACATCTGTGTGGTCTGTTTTTAAGTTTTGAACTTAAATGTCCTGTGCCATGTTACTCTGCTTTATTAAGCCCCTATTAGAGTACCGGACAACAGGATTATTCACCATGTTACATTGCCAATTGTTGATGCTGTAAACATTGATGTAATTTGTTTTATCTGCAGACCATATTGACGGGTTAATGCTGGAGTCTATTATAGACAATGCTTGTCTACTGTTGACGTCTCGGGCTCGTGAGGTTGTCAAGTCAACACTCAGCTTTATCAAGGTTCTCCTGTCGGCCTACCAGGACACTACACTAGCACCACACCTGAAAAAACTGGTGAGTTCTCTTTATAGGCTAGGTCAGGCCATCCTTTATATCTCTTGTCTCTTGTTTAGTTGGTCTGAATTCTGTGGTCATTATGGCTAATTCAACCCATGCTATTAGTATAGTTGGTTGTTAGGGACATTAAAGAGTCTCACTCTGTTCCACTTCTATGTAACGGCACCATTACAGGAATGTCTGACACTGTTGGTATGTAAAATAATAGCAGGAGTTATTGTTACCCAGTTATAGTACAAGATAACGATTAAATTATACAAGATAGCAATTTTGATCGTTAAAAAGGTAAAACAGTTATCCCACAAGAATATGATGGGATCAATTTTCATCCTTTTTTGAACACTTAAGTGTATTCCTCCTTATGACTACTGATGGCTTAATCTCCTCTCCTATATAACCACCCAACTTAAATTGCTTTACTTGTGATTTCTTTTCAGATGTCTAACTTGGTCAGTATGAAGGAAGATGCCAGGCATCATTTCAGGTTTAAATCCAAGGAAATCTACGCCAAACTCATCAGAAAGTTTGGGTAAGGGTAACAGATACATCTGACAATGAAGCATGTTATAGTACCCCTAAGTTTGGGTTAGGGTAACAGATACATCTGACAATGAAGCATGTGATAGTACCCCTAAGTTTGGGTGAGGGTAACAGATACATCTGACAATGAAGAATGTTATAGTACCCCTAAGTTTGGGTTAGGGTAACAGATACATCAGACAATTCATGTTATAGTACCCCTAAGTTTGGGTAAGGGTAACGGATACATCTGACAATGAAGCATGTTATAGTACCCCTAAGTTTGGGTAAGGGTAACGGATACATCTGACAATGAAGCATGTTATAGTAGCCCTAAGTTTGGGTAAGGGTAACAGATACATCTTACAATGAAGCATGTTATAGTACCCCTAAGTTTGGGTTAGGGTAACAGATACATCAGACAATTCATGTTATAGTACCCCTAAGTTTGGGTAAGGGGAACAGATACATCTGACAATGAAGCATGTTATAGTAGCCCTAAGTTTGGGTAAGGGTAACAGATACATCTGACAATGAAACATGTTATAGTACCCCTAAGTTTGGGTGAGGGTAAGAGATACATCTGACAATGAAGCATGTTATAGTAGCCCTAAGTTTGGGTAAGGGTAACAGATACATCTTACAATGAAGCATGTTATAGTACCCCTAAGTTTGGGTTAGGGTAACAGATACATCTGACAATTCATGTTATAGTACCCCTAAGTTTGGGTGAGGGTAACGGATACATCTGACAATGAAGCATGTTATAGTACCCCTAAGTTTGGGTTAGGGTAACGGATACATTCATCAATGAAGCATGTTATAGTACCCCTAAAGTATCTATTGTATTTAAATATACTCTGTACAGAAACTGGCTTCTTTTATATATACTTTATGATCACTGCTAAATTTTCCATCCATAATGTTTACAGTGACTATCATTCCGCCAAATTTGTTCTGAAATCAATGAATTGATACCCAAGGTTGTACTAACGCTATGTATATGTAATATCTGTTAAAATCATTACTTTAGATTCAAAGTCAAATATTACACAAACGGCATGTGCTGCATTTCCATAATCTGGTTTCGAACCTTGTGTGTCATAATATTACTACATCCTCTCCAACTATTCGTTTTGTTTTCCGATTATTTCAGTTTCTAATTCCTGTTTTATTTCTCAGGTATGAGACAATCTGTGGTATGGCACCAGCAAGTATCCATAAAATCCTTATCAACATCAGGAAGACCGAGGAAAGAGCTAAAAAGGCCAGGAAGGCTGGCAAGGCTAAAGAAGATTCTGATAGTGACGAGGAGGGCCACCTCAGGTCACAGCCAGAAACGTAAGTACTCTGGAGCTAGGTACTACCCAAGGGATCGTTATAGACCTTAGTCGGTGGATCAGTCGTGGGCCCTGTATTATTTGTAGATTAGTTTTGTATTTTATAACCTGTACATTAGTTTCAAGCAAAGTATTTCCCTGAAGTGTATGTCTCAAGCTGATAGTCAGCAGTACACTCATAACACTGAGGACATTACACCCAGAAAAAAATACACCTGTAGGACACAGTACTTGGTATGTTGCTGTGCTTGTCATATCTGTAAATATGCTAGAAAACTATAAGTTGTTTTCCTGTGTGGTTGCCTACCTGAGATTAAAGTGAACAGAGATTTTATTATAATAGACAGAACATTGGTTTTATTTAATATCACTTTATGTTTCAGTGTTGAGGAGTTGTTACAGGACACTGACTCAGAGATGGAAGAGGATACTGACAATAAGAAGAAAAAGAAGGGAGAAAAGAAGTCGTCCAAGGGAGATAAGGGGGCGTGGCTTCAAGAAGGAAATGAGGATGAGATCATGGACTTCTTGGATACTACTGCTTCTAAGAAAGTCGTGGGTGAGTCTGATCCGTATCTCTTTTGCCTTCATGTTTTGTGATAACACATAGCTGACATGTCCTCCTTCCTTCAGTTATCTGTATTGTCAAATTTTGTTTATCTCCAAGTGATAAGATAGGAATGGTGTTGAGAGTTGTTTAGATGCTGAATTGCAATCACAAATTGATATATCACTTTCAATACAGACCAAGATTTCACTAATGTTCAAACGGAGGAGAAGGGATATTAGTGGTCCTCGTATGTTTTAAAATAAGAAACTGTTAAGTATCATTTGTGTAAGTATTTTTTCTCTACAAGACAGATATTTTGACTTAATTTATCCAATCTCATAAAATTTGACCTGAAACATGTACAATTATTTAAATCTTTATATTGTAAGTGACAAATTACCTAAGAGGGAAGGATTTCTTTTAGTTGTGTTTATTTCTGTGTTTTTTAACTGTTAACTTTTGACATTTTAGCCACCAAACCACTTGCTAAGAAGCAAGTTACGAAGTCCAAAGATGCAGGCTTTAAGAAGGCAGCAGATGGTCGGCTCATTATTACAGAGGGGAGTGAAGACGGAGGTAAGTTGAAAATCTGTTTAAAACCAGTAGTGACTGACCGTGGGTGGTCATGTAATTGATTGTAGTGACTGACCGTGGGTGGTCATGTTATTTATTGTAGTGACTGACCATGGGTGGTCATGTAATTGATTGTAGTGCCTGTTCGTGGGTGGTCATGTTATTGATTGTAATGGCTGTTCGTGGGTGGTCATGTTATTGCTAAGAAGCAAGTTACGAAGTCCAAAGATGCAGGCTTTAAGAAGGCAGCAGATGGTCGGCTCATTATTACAGAGGGGAGTGAAGACGGAGGTAAGTTGAAAATCTGTTTAAAACCAGTAGTGACTGACCGTGGGTGGGCATGTTATTTATTGTAGTGACTGACCGTGGGTTGTCATTTTATTGATTGTAGTGACTGACCGTGGGGGGACATGTTATTGATTGTAGTGACTGTGGATGGTCATGTAATTGATTGTAGTGACTGACCGTGGGTTGTCATTTTATTGATTGTAGTGACTGACCGTGGGCGGTCATGTAATTGATTGTAGTGACTGTTCGTGGGTGGTCAAGTTATTTATTGTAGTGACGGACCGTGGGGTGTCATGTTATTGATTGTAGTGACTGTCCGTTGGTGGTCATGTTATTGATTGTAGTGCCTGACCGTGGGTGGTCATGTTATTGAGTGTAGTGACTGTGGGTGGTCATGTAATTGATTGTATTGACTGACCGTGGGTGGTCATGTTATTTATTGTAGTGACTGACCGTGGGGGGTCTTGTTATTGATTGTAGTGACTGACCGTAGGGGGTCATGTTATTGCTTGTAGTGACTGACCGTGGGGGGTCTTGTTATTGATTGTAGTGACTGACCGTAGGGGGTCATGGTATTGCTTGTAGTGACTGACCGTGGGGGGTCACGTTATTGATTGTAGTGACTGACCGTAGGGGGTCATGGTATTGCTTGTAGTGACTGACCGTGGGTGGTCATTTTATTGATTGTAGTGACTGACCGTGGGTGCTCATGTTATTGATTGTAGTGACTGAACGTGGGTGGTCATGTTATTGATTGTAATGGCTGTTCGTGGGTGGTCATGTTATTGCTAAGAAGCAAGTTACGAAGTCCAAAGATGCAGGCTTTAAGAAGGCAGCAGATGGTCGGCTCATTATTACAGAGGGGAGTGAAGACGGAGGTAAGTTGAAAATCTGTTTAAAACTAGTAGTGACTGACCGTGGGTGGTCATGTGATTGATTGTAGTGACTGACCGTGGGTGGAACTTAATGTCCACTGGTCTAATTCTACCAGAATCAAAAGACAAGAAGATTTCCATAATTTGTTTTCTCATAACCTCAATCTCATGTTTTTCTAATGTCCCGAACAAGTTGTTACCTGTGAAAAAGTAATTGCACATTACATCAAATATTTGAATATTTAACCTATGAATTCTAAAGTTTGGGATTAAAAGATAAAGCAAGACCGACGTGGGTGGTCATGTAATTGATTGTAGTGCCTGTTCGTGGGTGGTCATGTTATTGCTAAGAAGCAAGTTACGAAGTCCAAAGATGCAGGCTTTAAGAAGGCAGCAGATGGTCGGCTCATTATTACAGAGGGGAGTGAAGACGGAGGTAAGTTGAAAATCTGTTTAAAACCAGTAGTGACTGACCGTGGGTGGGCATGTTATTTATTGTAGTGACTGACCGTGGGTGGGCATGTTATTTATTGTAGTGACTGACCATGGGTGGTCATGTAATTGATTGTAGTGCCTGTTCGTGGGTGGTCATGTTATTGATTGTAATGGCTGTTCGTGGGTGGTCATGTTATTGCTAAGAAGCAAGTTACGAAGTCCAAAGATGCAGGCTTTAAGAAGGCAGCAGATGGTCGGCTCATTATTACAGAGGGGAGTGAAGACGGAGGTAAGTTGAAAATCTGTTTAAAACCAGTAGTGACTGACCGTGGGTGGGCATGTTATTTATTGTAGTGACTGACCGTGGGTTGTCATGTTATTGATTGTAGTGACTGTCCGTGGGTGGTCATGTTATTGATTGGAGTGACTGACCGTGGGTGGTCATGTTATTGATGGCAGTGACTGTGGGTGGTCATGTAATTGATTGTAGTGCCTGTTCGTGGGTGGTCATGTTATTGCTAAGAAGCAAGTTACGAAGTCCAAAGATGCAGGCTTTAAGAAGGCAGCAGATGGTCGGCTCATTATTACAGAGGGGAGTGAAGACGGAGGTAAGTTGAAAATCTGTTTAAAACCAGTAGTGACTGACCGTGGGTGGGCATGTTATTTATTGTAGTGACTGACCGTGGGGGGTCGTGTTATTGATTGTAGTGACTGACCGTGGGGGGGCATGTTATTGATTGTAGTGACTGACGGTGGGGGGTCATGTTATTGATTGTAGTGCCTGACCGTAGGGGGTCATGTTATTGATTGTAGTGCCTGACCGTAGGGGGTCATGTTATTGCTTGTAGTGACTGACCGTGGGAGGCCATGTAATTGATTGTAGTGACTGTTCGTGGGCGGTCATGTTATTGATTGTAGCGTCTGTCTGTGGGGGGTCATGTTATTGATTGTAGTGCCTGACCGTAGGGGGTCATGTTATTGATTGTAGTGACTGACCGTGGGTGGAACTTAATGTCCACTGATCTAATTCTACCAGAATCAAAAGACAAGAAGATTTCCATAATTTGTTTTCTCATAACCTCAATCTCATGTTTTTCTAATGTCCCGGACAAGTTGTTACCTGTGAAAAAGTATTTGCACATTACATCAAATATTTGAATATTTTACCCATGAATTCTAAAGTTTGGGATTAAAAGATAAAGCAAGACCGAGTAATGGAATACATGGTAAATTGTAGGAGCTGGAGGTCAAATCTCTGATGAAGATGACCTTGACGAGCTGTTGGAGGCCATGGAGAAAGGTTCAGGTGCCACAAAGGTAATTGTCATTGTTCTGTTGTTGTAAAATAGATACAAGTACTTTGGTGTTATCCATTGGAATATATCTCATAGACTTCAAAGTTTTCACTTGAAGCTTATACATCTCATTACTCGGTGGCAGGTTAATACATACCAATTGAATTTTCTGAGAAGCATTTACAATTTAAAAATTAACTTGCAGCGTGCCAAGAAGAGGAAGATAGAAGATATTGCATCAGAGGCTGGAGGCAGTGTAGTTTCCTCTCGTTATAAAGGTGAGTATTAAGTGTAGCGTCCCCTCGTTATAAAGGTGAGTATTAAGTGTAGCGTCCCCTCGTTATAAAGGTGAGTATTAATTGTAGCATCCTCTCCTTATTATGTCAAAATTAAGTGCAGAATCTTTTTGTTTAAGGGTAGCGTCCTCCAATCATAGAGGTGAGAATTTAGGGTAGCATACTACTGATGTGAGAATCAACAATAGTGTCCTATCATTATTTAAGTGAGATTTAAGGTAATGGTGTACAATGTTATATTAGAGTACTGACCTGCAAAAAATGTATACAAGGCCGATGTATTTTTCCATTGTAAACATTGATTATTTTCACTAGCTCAGACAGAATCTACTACCTCCGGGTGTTGGGTTAGTGGAATTGTTCAACCCTGATGGGTAACGTCCTGTTATAGAGGCAAGAATTAAGGGTTACATTCTCAGGTTTTACAGGCAGTCTCCTATTGAAAGATTTCCTTCTCAAATTATTTCTTGAAAGTTTTGTGTACTTACATATTGATGTGTAATTTTTTCATCCTCAGCTGGAGGTCATGGTATCCATCGACCTATGTCAGGTGATGCAAAGACGAAGACAAACAAACCTATAGGAGGAGAATACAAATCAAAGGTTTGTATTTCTGTGGCGTTCTCTGTTTGTTTTACTCGCATAAGCCTGGTAAAAAAGTACTTATCCCCATGAAGATAATATCTGTTGTCTATTGTTTGTTTTTTACTCGACAAGTTCTTTATCTCTCTGAAACATAAATGTTGATTTTATCTAGAGGAAACTTTGTGGAGGGATATATGCTCGTTTTTTTTTTATATACAACAGAAAGCAGGAGGAGATATGAAGAAAAAGGATAAACCAGAACCTTATGCTTATGTACCGCTTGACTTCCAGTCACTCAACAAACGGTAAGCTTGTTTAAAGTTTATAAATAAATGTGCTAGACATTTAAAATGTGAACAAAATCGTCTTTGACGAGTATAATTTGCAGTAGAGAATATTAACTGGGGGATGATCTGTCTGAAACAAAAATAACAAATTGGATTACCCTATGAAATGTTGCTCAATTTTAGAAATAAAAAATTTAATTGCTGGACTTTTCTTTGAAATTGTCCATGCTTTGCTGAATCAGATTATTACACCTGTCCATTTCAATAAACCTTGTTAGAAATGCAGTGCAATGCCTGTTGATTTTGTATAGTTCAACTTTTTAGACACTTAGTGCAGATGCAGTAAGATATAGTTGAGTACAGTAAGTAATTTTCCTGATAGACTTCTAGTAAGGAATGATGAAGAAATGATTTTATATTGTTACAGGAAAAAGGCTAAGATGCAAGGAAGATTCAATAATCTTGTGAAAGGTGCTCGGAAAGGTGCAATGAAGGGGTCAAAGGGCAAAGGGTCAAAGGGGAAAAAATAAATGTTCCAATTTGTTAAAAGTGACGAAAAAGAATTGAATGGTTGAAAGAAAGGCAAAGGGACAAATATGAGAAAAAAGAGCCAAGTCTGCACTGAAAGATGGAATTGAATAACTTGATTCACATTGATTGACAGCAGAATGTGGATTGGAATTCGACCTAAACTAGTAAATAAACCTGATGTAAATTAAAAACTACCAGATATTGTGTATAAAAACGTTGTAACTTGGTGATATGTTTTGTGAAAGTTCCTGTATTCAAGAGCTGCTGTTCCTTAATATGTACATGTACATTGTATATGCTGTTATATATGACTGTTAGTAGACATTTGTTAATTCTATGAAGAATTAAAAACTTTACAGAAACACTGCAATTAAATATTTAATTTGAAGACATTGTATTTTAGAAGTGTCATTTTATTTTTGTCCCTGGGTGTTGCTATGGATTGGCCCATCTGTCTGGCACACTTTCAAGGCAAACTGTTTATCCATGGACTTCTGCCAACTTTCGAATATATGGCCGAGTAAAACTGATGTCAGACAAAGTTTTGGAGTGACTGAAAGTCTGGAATCATGCACCTTCAATATAGTTACTGAAACTCCTGTCGATGTTTTCACTTTTCAGGATATAGGTCAACACATGAACACATCAAGACTGCTTTAGTTTATTGTGATCCAAACGGTTGGATTAGCATTGTTTGTTTATGAAATAAGGTCAGACCTAGTAATATGATGCTGCTTTCAGGCAAGCCTTGACAAAAGCCTATGTTTATTTGGATTTTTCTGTCCAATGAAGATTTGAGAAGTTGATGAATTAATTGCTTTTGATATAAATAAACAAAGATTAAAACCTAAATAAAAACATGAAATACAAAAAATATTTTCATTACAAAATTTTATTTTGAAAAACTTAACACTTTGCAGTTGTTAAATTATTGTTGTAAAATTGCTACCAAAACATTATACATAAAACCTGTATAGCACTATCAAAGTGTTCTGTTCCTTCAAAACCAGGACAATTGCACAACACACTATAAATAAGTACAGTACTTGGTTTACTGCTCTCTCAACACCACACATTTATCAGACAGATACAAGCTGATTTTGTATAATTCCTACCAACTAATATGAAAATGTAAATTCTACAGAATTCTGTTAACACAGGCTAGGCAGCCTTACAGCCCGGCGACTTCCACCATTACATGCTAGCTACTGTAGCCCGACAGCCTTCTAGTCATGTAGTGGCCTCTGATATATGTCTGGTTGTCTACCTTATAATCCAATGACCTCCCCCTACCAAGGTTGGGCTGACTGACCTCTGCTAACCTTGGCTAGACTGGCCGACCTCTGCTAACCTTAGCTAGACTGGCCGACCCCTGCTAACCTTGGCTAGACTCGCCGACCTCTGCTAACCTTAGCTAGACTGGCCGCCCTCTGCTAACCTTGGCTAGACTGGCCGACCTCTGCTAACCTTAGCTTACTTGAATTAGCTAACTACCTTAGCTTTCAGTGACCTCAACTTACTCAGATTAGGCAAACTAACCTCTGCTAGGCTAACCAACTCAACCTAAAGTGGCCTCTCCTTTCCCAGGCTGGGCTGACTGACTTGCACTTTAATACCTTGGTTAAGCTGACAATCTTAACCTCCATTGACCTCTCCTAACCCAGGATATTACCCTGACAACCTTACATGTAAAGCATAAGGTGTTACAGTGCAGATTTTGTCAACAGTCTCACATGGAAGCTGTATGTGAACACCTTAGGTGAGGGAATCAGTATATTGGTGGACAAATGCATGTTTGGCAGTAAACAAGTGATCATCCTCTTTTAACAATGGACATCATTAGTAAACAATCTAGCATAAAGTGTACATCACTAGCATAAAGGTGTACACCAATTTCCTCCCCACCATTGTACTCACCTGTGTTCTCAAATGCTTTTCATGCATCTAACATTTTCATTTGTGATCTCTCTTCCTGGCATTTACTCTGTTTCCAAACATGTCTATTTCCCTACATGCATACTTATTCCGTTTGACTTCAGCAAAGCTGAGCTTTACTGATTTGGCCTCTCACTCTGGGACCAAAAAAGGCTCATATTATTCACATCACTAGTACTGGACAAAATCCGTCCTCTTAAAATATGAACAATGTCCCTGGTGTTAGAAATTACAGTGTTCCCATAGCATACAACACAAGTATTGCCACAGATCCCCACAGTCATGCATCATTTACTGACTAGGCATATAACACATTACAATGTAACATATGATGTTAGGGCAACTGAACGATCACTTTAAGAACTCCTGGCCTTTCCACAGCTCTCAGTATATATAACACATGCAAAACGTATCACACATGTAAAACAAGTGATAAATATACTTTATCCCCAAATCCACCCAACTATGTATGACTGTAATTTGCATGATCGTTGTAAAAATTCAAAGTATGTGAAATGTATTTGGAATGCATAGTGATGGTTTCCCTCAGATCTTAATTCAGTGTACAGGACAGTTTAAACATGGTCTCCAGCGTTACTCTGTCTTCTGTTTTCTCTCCTCTTTCATCCACTTAAAAGCTTTCCAAAGGGAGGCAAGCACTGGTAGGCTTATAGGGAGGAACAGTGGAATGTAGATAGCAAATCTGAAATTTACAAAAAAAAAATGATATCGAATAACAAATAAAACCAATATATAAAACCAGAGAGCATTAATCCTATAACTGTGTCTCATTATAAAATGGATACAGATCAAAATTCCAGAGGCAAAATAATAGAAATGGCAGCAAATTACCAAGATTACACTCACTTTTGATCCTCGGGGAAATACAGCAGCTCCAGTAGAGACGGGTCAAAAAACGCCTTTTCTAAAGGAAAAAGATCAAAACAACATTACAAGTTATGTGTACTACAAATCACAGAGGGATTTGCCAGAACGTAATTGTATATCAAAAACTTAAATGTTAGATTTTCAACAATTGGAATTCAAAGCTTTCATTGAAAACATACAAACAAAACCTAACCATGTTTTGGTTTGTAATATTCCTTTTACCAAAATATTTCTTTTATTCACATACAAAATCATATATGCTTCTACAGTAAACTGACAAATGAGTGGCTCAAATGAGTTAAAAAGCCTGTACAACTCCTTACTCAAATAGATAATTGAATAAGAATGCAAAGATGCATATAGCTTAATAATTTTCCTGAACCCACTAAGTTCTAGTTAAATGGTTTTCACTTTACCAATTCAAATGAAACACTTGTGTAAAAATGCAAGGGTTATGTAAAAAATTTACACAAAAACAGAAATAGAGAAATATTAAAGAATGATTTGAAAATTCTTACCTGAACACACAATAGCATTACGAGATTCAAGGAAAGCTTTCTCCAGTCTGCCCTCCACTAGGTGGCGCTGACTCTCCTGGATGCTGTTGACTGCATCCTGAACCTGTATCAAGTGATTATACATATTATTTGAAAACAATAAAAGACTAGATTAATTCTGGAGAAGAAATAAGTGTAAAGTGTTCTCTACTTTCTAAGCTACACAGGTTCTATATGTTCTGATTACACCCTTGTATCGGATGAAATACATAGAGAATAATACATGCCTTTTTCCATATCACACCCAGTATCAACCCGAGACTGCAATATCAGCCCAAGGGCCGAAGGCCCGCGGGCTGATATTGGTCGAGGGTTGATACTGGGTGTGATATGGAAAAAGGCGTGTTTTATTCTGTTTATTACATACTTACTAATAAAAACTACTATCTTATGATTTATTTTCATTTTTGAAATATTGAAAAACGATTTTTTTTCCAAATGAGGTGTGATATGGGTTTTGCGGGCTGATATGGGTTTTTGGGCTGTGATACGGCGGGGGGCTGATACGGGTTTTGGGGTGTGATACGGCGAGGGCTGATATGGGTTAGAGCAATTGTGTCGTATAGCATATACAAAAAACCTGTATTTATTAGTAAGTATGTAATAAAAATTAATTTCACATGAATTCTTTTGTTATCAATTCCATGTAGGAATAATTTTCAGTGTGTATGTAATTATATGGCTATTTGATCATATTTAAACACACAAACTAGAAGGGAAGCTACACATTTGTCAATCTTGATCTTAAATCATAAATTAGTATGTCGGTTATTATTGTAGCTTACTTTCGAGAACTGTAATTGTTCAAGAATAAATGTATAACAACACTAGGCAATTATACAGAAGTAATGGCGTACATGGAGACACCAAACAGGGAAGTAACACCTGTATGTACCTGTTCCCCGATGTCGTCCTGGATTACGATGTTACTTATCTCCCCTAACAGCTGAGCCAGGGACTGCAGGGTGGCTATGGACGTCCCCAGGTTCTCCAGACAACGACTTCTCAGCCAGCCGTCTAGTTCCTGTCAAACAAGGTCAACATATACAGGACCATGGTCAATGTCGCAACATCAAGGGGCAGATATTTCATGTTACAGAATAACGTACAAGCAATGGACAATTATCTTCATAGATCTACAACTTCTCCTTTAGTTACAGGGAAAAAAGATTTTTAGCTGTAGAATTGTAATACTTGGCAAAATCCTACATGTCAACGACATCAAAATGTAAACAATAGTGAACATTACTGTCCTGCATTGAAATGATCTACTGAACTATGTTCAAGTGTTACTTCACTTAACCCAGTAACTATTTTCCATATCCCAAAAAACAAAATTCATTGAATTTTAAGAACTTCCCATACAAGTTAACTGACAATAAATATCAACACTTACCCACTTAGAAATGACTCGCACAAGTTAACTGACAATAAACATCAACACTTGGTCACTTACCCACTTAGAAATGACTCGACTGCCTACATCAGCCACAAGAGTGTCACCATTTTTCTGAAATATTGATAAATACAAACATATATAGATAAACATGTACAAAAATGTACAGATACCCTTATACTTTATTATTTACTGATGATAATGTTCCAAAGTAGTCTGTGACAGTTTGAACAAGATTTTCATTTTGAAAGGAAACATGAGTCATACAGGTCCATGTATTTACAAATGTACTTCCAGAAAAGTGGCTCTGACAAAGACTTTATCAAACATCTTTTGGCAATTTAAATTGAAGATTAACAAGAAGTTGTAAACTACTTAGAATAGTTTAATTTGTAAATATTATCCTCTGTTACACAATTTGTATTGAAGGAGTGTTTTGATAGTATCTGTGATTAATATCTATATAAGATTATTTACTGGTAATTTGAAAATAATTAAAAAAAACTATTTCATGTTTGATAAAAGCATTGCCCATGCTGGAAATGGAAAAAAATACAGGTGCTTGGAAATACTCAAATACTTGCAGAACGTATTAAGCCTTAATTACCTGTGACTGGAAGTTGAGGAGGAGACGAAGCTGTGAGATAAACACTTCCATGACACGGCGCATGTCAAGCTCCATGGTAACAGGTAGGGTATCATTTTCTGAGGGACTGGGGGCATTCTGAATGTAGATACCACCCCACTGGGGGCTCAGGAACGAGTTGGACTGCACTTCTACACCTAGTAGGGGAAGTAACCATTTACAATTTTAATATTAACAACAAAGTTCATATATTAGCAATATAATTCATCTCTGGGAGGTAAGTATAAGTTAGTCATCTTACAATCATGCAATCGGGTTTGAAAACAAATAACCCAACACGAACATAAAACAACTACACTCTCTATTCCACTGGTGTCTTTTTGACAGTTATGTATAAAATGTGTGTAAGGGACCAAAACTGTTGTTTACACATATGAAACTGTTTCATTTTGTTATATTTACATTTGCCCCCGCGCCGTCCCATTACAACAGTGTTAGAGGGCAAGTGTAATTATATAGGCTATAATTACAACTGCTCGACTATAATTACAACTGCCTGTTTCAGGTGTAGGAATATGTAAACAAACAAAATGGCCGCCTGAAATGTATTTTGAGGCAGGGCAAATGGTTTTTGTAGGAATATGTCTTAAAAAAGAAAAATATGTAAATATAAAAAATACCTGGTTGATTACAAGTGGTCTCTGGCAAATCTACCATAAAACCCTAGCGGGTTTATAGGATTTGCCAGAGGCCACTTGTAATTATATCAACAATAATTACATCCAGACAACCAGTTATTGTTTAAGTAATGACAGTGACATTGCAGGACCTTTACAATAACACAACAGTTGCACCACAGCAAGATGACATTTACATCACAGTCAGTTGATATTGACATCACAGTCAGCCAACAGTAGAATAATTCACCATGATAGTGACATCACAGTCAGCCAACAGTAAAATCTGTCAACATGATAGTGACATCACAGTCAGACAACAGTAGAATCTGTCACCATGATAGTGACATCACAGTCAGCCAACAGTAAAATCTGTCAACATGATAGTGACATCACAGTCAGCTGACAGTAAAATCTGTCACCATGATAGTGACATCACAGTCAGCCAACAGTAGAATTTATTACCCAATAGTCTATATAAATTATAATTCGTCATTTTTGACTGTTTCTGGGTTTTTGTCCAATTTCGGCTGTAGGGGTGAAACAGTCAAAACTGTTTTCCCGGTCAGAGCGAACTGTTACCCGGCGTGAATTCGATGCGCAGAAATCCCCCCTCGAGAGCCCCCTTTAAGCGTTTCGGTGACAGCGACTCAGTGTTGAAGCAATGGCAACATTGCATGCAGCATTGATACTAATATTTATTTGGTCATAAAACAATTGTTTCATGTTTATTTGGGGAACAGTCAAAACTATCATCCCTCGGTAGGGGGAAGCCCTGTGGAACTATTTGCCCTTGGCCTAGCGGCCTCGGGCAAACAGTTCCCCAGGGCTTCCCCCTACCTCGGGATGATAGTTTTGACTGTTCCCCAAATAGCCATGAAACAATTGTATACTGTCAACATGATAGTGACATCACAGTCAGCCAACAGTATACAGTTGTTTCATGCCTTATCAGTCAACAGTCAAAACTGTTTTCCCCGAGGAGTTGGGACCCACCAGATGAACTGTTTCCTGAGGCCGCAGTTCATCTGGTGGGTCCCAACTCCGAGGGAAAATGGTTTTGACTGTTGAATGATAAGGCATGAAACAACTGTTTTGTTACTTGACCAATGAAAAACAAAAAGTTCCATGTCGAATGTGATGTTTAGATCTACCGACAGACGACCGTCAACAATCCAGTACCAAAAACGCTGGGTCATCGGGGTGCTTGTAATTATAGGTGCGGTCGATTACCTAACACGTGACCAGTCAACAGTTCCACGTGACCAGTCAACAGTTTCACGCGCAGTCAACAGTTTCACGTGACCAGTCAACAGTTTCACGTGACCAGTCAACAGTTTTACGGTAGCACACATTAGCTATAGTTCGTTTGGTGAATTGTCGGGGAAACAGTCGAAATTGATTAATATGCATTTATATAGCGAGTCAGGTAACAATAAAATCTGTCAACATGATAGTGACATCAGTCAGCCAACAGTAAAATCTGTCAACATGATAGTAACATCACTGATCCCAGATAAATATAAGATAACTCACCTTTACTGTCAACAATATAGATCGGATGCTGGTCCCGACTCGGTACGTAGACAAGGAAGTTTAGTGCTGGGTTGTTAGAGGTGTGCGACCCTGAAACAACAAGACTGTCTTATCACACAATATACACAACTGCTGTTTATACCACTCTTATCATTAATTAACCTGGCAGACAATATCACATGTATGTAGGGTATAAATTGTGACCTAGATGTAAAATGACTGACCTAGTTGTGGAATAACTGTGACTTAGTGGGGAATGTGAAGAGTCTGGACTATGACATAGTTATAAAATATCAGACGTAAATGATATTTTTGTGGAGAAGCTATAAATACACTTTTACATATCTGAGCTATCTGAGAAGCACTAGTTGTGAAGTATCAGACATACTATATGGACAAACTTACCTAGTTTTGCCTCCAGTGGGTTGATGACATGAGGAAGGTCCTTGTCTGTGTAGAGATATGCCTGCTTACCGTCATCTCTCCTCATTCTCTTCAGAAACCCAGTAAAATATAAAACCTGTAAAGTATTGTAAAATATAATACCTGGAATATACTGTGGATGTTAAAATTGGAAAATATTGTAAAACATGAAAAATACCATTAGATATATATACAACCAAAAATATAACATTTAAACTTGGAAAATTTTCTTTCTTGTAAGAAGTTAAATAAATAATTTATTCATGAAGCTAGGCATCTTTATTCCTGGCGTACATAGGATTACAGAATATAATTGGGGCATTCAATCATCTATTATCATTTATACTTGAATCATGTTTCCATTTTAGTTCGGATGAGGGGCAATATTATTTTATAGATACTGGTTATCAATATGAAAGTAAGATTTGAAATTTGTTGTTCTTGTCTCACCTGAGATTGAACGTTGATCTTGGCATATCTCTGTAACTGTTGTAGAAAGGGATCCAGGTAATCTGTAACAAACCTGACGTGTTACTGTCAACGTAGCTACGGCCTGACATCATCGTAGTGTGCTATACATTTAGCCACATACACAGATACCCTGTCAGCAGGACAGCTCAGGTTTAAGTTGTACCTCATTACATATAAATGAACCCGTCAATAAATATTTACTGATATACATGTCATTTTTATGATAAAATCATAAGGACATGTATAGAAACTTTGAGATAAACAAGGTTTTTCATTAATCATTATTTTATTTGTAAAAGGGACCTTAATGTGACGTCCAAGTAAACAGGGTATTCAAGGTCAATAAGACTGTAATAAAATCGTTAAACCTCCAGTCATTTCATAATGGTCAATAGTTCGAACTTGAAAAAGACCAACATTATGGGACAATTTAACAAAGTTCAAGAAAACTTAAATAAATCAGCTCAGAATGGCTGGACAGTTAGTGTAGCTGATATTATGGTATATCAGGTAGCAGTGTACAGTAGCGTATGGTGGCCATGGGTGATATTTTTATACAATGAATAACCCCTGTAATATTACAAGTATCAAAATATATAAAAAAAATCAGCACTAAAATTGGCATTATATATATGATGAAGTGGACTATGTGGGCTTCATTATTTAAAAAAAAATCGAATTTGGTTTGAGACTACAGTTTTGGGCATTTACAAATCTGTGTCTACACAACAAAAGCTAGCTTTTCATGTAGTCTATTTTTGTACTCAGCACATGTGTAAATATTGTGAACAAGAGGCCCATGGGCCTTAACGGTCACCTGAGTCCTACAGTATCAATTTTTGTTGTTGAAAGTGAGATAATGATGTCAATCATCCCTACCAAAATTGGAGTAAAAAAAGTTAAGTATAACTTTAAGTTAAGTTTGTCAGGACAATGAGTTGATCATTCCTAGACCGATTTTCAGTTAATACGGCCTATTAGAACTTGATAATAAGTTTGAAATAGTTTTTTTCCAAAATGGCAGCCATGGTGGCTGTATTGGATTTTTGATGGACCTGGAAAAAAACATTTTGCCAGGACAATGAGTGGATCATTCCTACCAAGTTTCAGTTAAATGGGCCCAGTAGAACTTGACCTTAAGTTTGAAATAGTTTTTCAAAATGGTGGCCATATTGAATTTCTGTTGTACAGGTTGAATCCGCTATCCATGTTTATCTGAGACATGTCCTTTATTTTTAGGATAAGGCCATTTCTACTGTACACTGCTTCCTCAGACCCTCACCTTTGACAGCTTGCTCTATATCCCAATGGACATCGAGTATGTCTGGCTGAGGATTGACCAGTGTGAAGGTGATGTCATAGCCTGGATTTGACCGTACTGACCTCATACTGGACTTCTCTGGCTGGAGGCATAGAGAACAATCTTATTAATAATATTTACACAAATGGCCATGTAAAGTTTCACCAAAATCATTTTTTATATTTTTCCAAATCACATAAAATAAAATTTCTCTATATATTGTTCATATGGGAAAGCACTGCTTAAGTTAAGAGAAATATTAATTTAATCTACAGAACATAAAAAAACTGCGGTAGTGGTATCCCCATTACCTACTGTTGTAGTGGTATCCCAATTACCTACTGTGATAGTGGTAACTCCTCTACCTACTGTAGTAGTGGTATCCCCTTTACCTACTGTAGTAGTGGTATCCCTGTGACCTACTGTGATAGTGGTATCCCCATTACCTACTGTGGAAGTGGTATCCCCTTTACCTACTGTGATAGTGGTATCCCCTTTACCTACTGTAGTAGTGTTATCCCAATTATCTATTGTAGTAGTGGTATCCCTGTGACCTAGGCTTCTGTAGTAGTGGTATCCCTGTGACCTACTGTGGTAGTGGTATCCCTGTGACCTACTGAAGTAGTGGTATCCCTGTAACCTACTGTGGTAGTGTTACATCCTTTACCTACTGTAGTAGTGGTATCCCTGTGACCTACTGTGGTAGTTGTATCCCCTTTACCTACTGTGTTAGTGTTACCCCCGTAACCTACTGTGGTAGTGTTACACCCTTTACCTACTGTAGTAGTGGTATCCCCTTTACCTACTGTAGTAGTGGTATCCCCTTTACCTACTGGAGTAGTGGTATCCCTGTGACCTACTGAAGTAGTGGTATCCCAGTGACCTACTGTGGTAGTGGTAACCCCTTTACCTACTGTGGTAGTGGGATCCCCTTTACCTACTGTGGTAGTGGTATCCCCTTTACCTACTGTAGTGATGGTATCCCTTTACCTTCTGTGGTAGTGGTATCCCTGTGACCTACTGAAGTAGTGGTATCCCTGTGACCTACTGTGGTAGTGGTATCCCCTTTACCTACTGTGGTAGTGGTATCCCCGTAACCTACTGTGGTAGTGTTACTCCCCATTACCTACTGTGGTAGTGGTATCCCTGTGACCTACTGTGGTAGTGGTATCCCATTTACCTACTGTGGTAGTGGTATCCCCTTTACCTACTGTAGTAGTGGTATCCCTGTGACCTACTGTGGTAGTGGTATCCCCTTTCCCTACCGTGGTAGTGTTACCCCCATAACCTACTGTAGTAGTGGTATCCCCTTTACCTACTGTAGTAGTGGTATCCCAATTACCTACTGTGGTAGTGGTATCCCCATAACCTACTGTGGTAGTGTTACTCCCCATTACCTACTGTGGTAGTGGCATCCCTGTGACCTACTGTGGTAGTGTTACCCCCCTTAACCTACTGTGGTAGTGGCATCCCTGTGACCTACTGTGGTAGTGGTATCCCTGTGACCTACTGTGGTAGTGGTATCCCCCTTACCTACTGTGGTAGTGTTACCCCCGTTACTTACTGTTGTAGTGGTATCCCTGTGACCTACTCTGGTAGTGGTATCCCCATTAATTATTGTGGTAGTGGTATTCACATTACCTACTGTGGTAATGGTATCCCATTTATATATTGTTGTAGTGGTATCCCCATTACCTACTGTGGTAGTGGTATCCCCATTACCTACTGTGGTAGTGGTATCCCCATTACCTACCGTGGAAGTGTTACCCCCATTACTTACTGTGGTAGTGTTACCCCCATTACTTACTATGGTAGTGTTACCCTCCTTAAGGTGTCTGTCCCCAGTACCCACCATCTTTTCACCACCCACTCAGTACCAACTATTTGGGAGAGGCTCTAGCCCATTGTAAGTTGCAAGAACTTGTGACTATTCAGTGTCAATAAAATATGATTGAATGAACCATTTGTTTTCTAATACATACCTTTAGGATTCTGTCCCTAGTACCTTTCATCTGTCCTTTAATACCTACCTTAAGGGTTTTGTTCCAGTACTTACAATCTGTCCCCTAGTACGTATACCTACCTTAAGGGTTCTGTCACCAGTACCATACCATCTGTCCCCTAGTACCTTCCTTAAGGGTTCTGTCCCCAGTACCTACCATCTTTCCCCAGTACCTACCATCTGTCCTCTAGTACCTACCTTAAGGGTTCTGTCCCCAGTACCTACCATCTGTACCCTAGTACCTACCATCTGTCACCAGTACCTACCATCTGTCCCAAGTACCTACCATCTGTCCCCTAGTACATATCATCTGTCCCCTAGTACCTACCTTAAGGGTTCTGTCCCCAGTACTTACGATCTGTCCCCAGTACCTACCATCTGTCCCCGGTACCTACCATCTGTCCCCTAGTACCTACCTTAAGGGTTCTGTCCCTAGTAACTACCATCCACCCCCTAGTACCTACCATCTGTCCCCTAGTACCTATCTTAAGGGTTCTGTCCCCAGTAACTACCATCCGTCCCCTAGTACCTACCTTAAGGGTTCTGTCCCCAGTACCTACCATCTGAACCCTAGTACCTACCATCTGTCCCCTAGTACCTACCTTAAGGGTTCTGTCCCCAGTACCTACCATCTGTCCCCTAGTACCTACCTTAAGGCTTCTTTCCCCAATACCTACCATCCGTTCCCTAGTACCTACCATCTGTCCCCTAGTACCTATCTTAAGGGTTCTGTCCCCAGTACCTACCATCTGTCCCCTAGTACCTACGTTAAGGGTTCTGTCCCCAGTAACTACCATCCGTCCCCTAGTACCTACCATCTGTCCCCTAGTGCCTACCTTAAGGGTTCTGTCCCCAGTACCTACCATCTGTCCCCAGTATCTTCCATCTGTACCCTAGTACCTACCTTAAGGGTTCTGTCCCCAGTAACTACCATCCGTCCCCTAGTACCTACCTTAAGGGTTCTGTCCCCAGTACCTTTTCCATCGTGGAAAATTTTACTAAGTGATGTCTCCTTGATCAAACTTTTCTGAATTACTGTTGATATTTTATCGGCAAGACCAGGTATATCTGTTAAAATTTAAAATATATACACAAATGTTGTCAGTATACAAGAAGTATGAGGCTCAAGTCATTTTAGGCGGAGTCTATCCTTTTGAAAATTAATCATTTTTTTATTTTGTGGAGAAAAGACAAGATGATTGAGAGTGACCCACTTTTTCAGGTCGAGTAAGGTTGAATTGAACAATTGATTGTTCTTCTCAGACTAAGGTAATTAGGAGAGTGACCCACGGAAGGGTATCTATATATTTGAAGCAGGTAGTGACATATGATATAAATGTGTTTACTGCCACCGTTTTGTTGGTGACTGTGACCTTGCCATCCATTTACTATGTTTACGGTGCAAGCTATTTTATGTTTCAGAATTACACTTTCGTGGTCCATGTTACTATTACTAAAACTAGAACCTTGGCTGTGAGGTAGGAGTCTTTGTATGAGTAGTTCATCGATAAAGGTAGGAGAGCGATGACGACAAGGAAAAGTTAACAGACAGACAGACGGACAACGCAGCCCATACCACAATACGACCCGTCAAACGACAGGCGTATAAAAATGAAACCTACTCAGAATTACGTAAGGTCTGGGGAGTGACTGTCCTATTGAGAATAAGGTAAGGTCTTATGATTGACTATTCTAAATTTATAATTTCTATACTGACTGCTACTAAGAATGAGGTTGATAAACCTATTGAGAATGAGGTAAAATTTAAGAGAGAAAGGAGAGGTTTAATGATTGACTATTCCTACCTGTAGATCCTGTAGACTGTATCAATACTGTCCTACCAAGACTGAGGTATGGTTTCTGTAATGACAGGGGAGACAACTTTGGAACAATCACCACCTGGTATCTGTTGACGTCATCTTCTCCAGACGGAAACTGACTATCTGTATCTGTAATAGTGATATAAATATTGTGAAGCAACTTTAACAGCATCAAATATATAAAATATATAAAAAATAGAGAGCATACAGGACTTATCACATGACTATTGTGTAACATTTTGTATATAGTAGTTACACTCATGTTATATTTTGTGAATTCCTTTTTGTAATATCACCGATTATGATATAAGAATGATGATAATAGATGCATTTATGCATGACATCATAGACTTCACACTGACAACAATAAACATTGGTCCAAATGGTGATTAAGAAGAGTTGACAATGGTCAAAGATATGTGCACTGTATTAGCAAATATTCATATGAATTCTTGGTGTTGTGATAAAAAGGATCTTTAATTTGTTTTCATTTCATATCAAGCTCATCCTAAATATTCTTTTCCAGCTCAGTAAAGCCCTTCTTAAATGGAAACTTATAAGACTTGTTTGATAAATCTTGTGTGAATTGGAAATTCATCAAAGATGCTGTTTGATATGCTCACTGTCATGTACATGTTCTGGTGAATGCTGTTAGATATGCTCACTGTCATGTACATGTTCTGGTGAATGCTGTTAGATATGCTCACTGTCATGTACATGTTCTGGTGAATGCTGTTAGATATGCTCACTGTCATGTACATGTTCTGGTGAATGCTGTTAGATATGCTCACTGTCATGTACATGTTCTGGTGAATGCTGTTAGATATGCTCACTGTCATGTACATGTTCTGGTGAATGCTGTTAGATATGCTCACTGTCATGTACATGTTCTGGTGAATGCTGTTAGATATGCTCACTGTCATGTACATGTTCTGGTGAATGCTGTTAGATATGCTCACTGTCATGTACATGTTCTGGTGAATGCTGTTAGATATGCTCACTGTCATGTACATGTTCTGGTGAATGCTGTTAGATATGCTCACTGTCATGTACATGTTCTGGTGAATGCTGTTAGATATGCTCACTGTCATGTACATGTTCTGGTGAATGCTGTTAGATATGCTCACTGTCATGTACATGTTCTGGTGAATGCTGTTAGATATGCTCACTGTCATGTACATGTTCTGGTGAATGCTGTTAGATATGCTCACTGTCATGTACATGTTCTGGTGAATGCTGTTAGATATGCTCACTGTCATGTACATGTTCTGGTGAATGCTGTTAGATATGCTCACTGTCATGTACATGTTCTGGTGAATGCTGTTAGATATGCTCACTGTCATGTACATGTTCTGGTGAATGCTGTTAGATATGCTCACTGTCATGTACATGTTCTGGTGAATGCTGTTAGATATGCTCACTGTCATGTACATGTTCTGGTGAATGCTGTTAGATATGCTCACTGTCATGTACATGTTCTGGTGAATGCTGTTAGATATGCTCACTGTCATGTACATGTTCTGGTGAATGCTGTTAGATATGCTCACTGTCATGTACATGTTCTGGTGAATGCTGTTAGATATGCTCACTGTCATGTACATGTTCTGGTGAATGCTGTTAGATATGCTCACTGTCATGTACATGTTCTGGTGAATGCTGTTAGATATGCTCACTGTCATGTACATGTTCTGGTGAATGCTGTTAGATATGCTCACTGTCATGTACATGTTCTGGTGAATGCTGTTAGATATGCTCACTGTCATGTACATGTTCTGGTGAATGCTGTTAGATATGCTCACTGTCATGTACATGTTCTGGTGAATGCTGTTAGATATGCTCACTGTCATGTACATGTTCTGGTGAATGCTGTTAGATATGCTCACTGTCATGTACATGTTCTGGTGAATGCTGTTAGATATGCTCACTGTCATGTACATGTTCTGGTGAATGCTGTTAGATATGCTCACTGTCATGTACATGTTCTGGTGAATGCTGTTAGATATGCTCACTGTCATGTACATGTTCTGGTGAATGCTGTTAGATATGCTCACTGTCATGTACATGTTCTGGTGAATGCTGTTAGATATGCTCACTGTCATGTACATGTTCTGGTGAATGCTGTTAGATATGCTCACTGTCATGTACATGTTCTGGTGAATGCTGTTAGATATGCTCACTGTCATGTACATGTTCTGGTGAATGCTGTTAGATATGCTCACTGTCATGTACATGTTCTGGTGAATGCTGTTAGATATGCTCACTGTCATGTACATGTTCTGGTGAATGCTGTTAGATATGCTCACTGTCATGTACATGTTCTGGTGAATGCTGTTAGATATGCTCACTGTCATGTACATGTTCTGGTGAATGCTGTTAGATATGCTCACTGTCATGTACATGTTCTGGTGAATGCTGTTAGATATGCTCACTGTCATGTACATGTTCTGGTGAATGCTGTTAGATATGCTCACTGTCATGTACATGTTCTGGTGAATGCTGTTAGATATGCTCACTGTTATGTACATGTTCTGGTGAATGCTGTTAGATATGCTCACTGTTATGTACATGTTCTGGTGAATGCTGTTAGATATGCCCACTGTTATGTACATGTTCTGGTGAATGCTGTTAGATATGCTCACTGTCATGTACATGTTCTGGTGAATGCTGTTAAATGGTAATGAAACTTTATAACTTACTTGATAAAGAAGTCATGGCCTTGACCTTGGCCAGCTCTTTCTCCGTAACATCTCTGACATTTAGACGGTAATAGGGTGCTACAGCATCTTCACTTGTCTCTGTGAAGAAAAGCATACACGGCTGTGAAACAGGAAAAGAAGAATTGCAGATACAGATAACACAGAGATGCAGGGCTACAAAACAGTCTGTCACACTTAACTTGGTTTATTTCTTTTTTTTAATTTGTGAACAAAATGTAAAATCTCCTTTCTTAAATCATACTCCACTGCAATCACTTCATGTCCTAAGAGACGTATACGTCAAATGAGGGAGTTATTTGATGTGATAGGCTTCCCAAGTTTGTATTACACCAGCTGAGAGAGCTGTGTGGTGTGGGTGACTTACCTAGCATGTTCGATTTCAGATGCGAGATTGTTATTGGTTTGAGTGACTTACCAAGTTTGTCCGACACCAGACGAGACAGTTGTGTAATGTGATTCTCGGACAGGGACTGGTCTCCATTGATAATAGCCACATCTACTGTGTACTTAACCTGTAATGGTGGAAGAGAATCATTCATGAATGATGCCATCCTTGACACTCCAGGGGTTACGCTCACTGGCGTTCTCTGTACCCCTGGAATATGTCATACTCATAGTAAAAAAAGGAAGCTCCTGCACAAAGTAAGCTATTTGATTGGTCTTATGTGAAAAAAACTTGACCAATCACTAGGCCGATACCTTTCCTTTGAAGATTACAGAGGAGTGACACCCGACTACAACACAAGTCTATTTTTCAATTACACGGCCCCAAGATTCTTTTGAGGTATATTAAAGGACCAAATTAGTCTTCAACAAGGTGGCGCACACCGAGTCTGTATTTGGCGTGACAAATGCTAGGGGTGCAGAGATTACTCTTGGTATGCTAGGGGTGCAGAGATTACTCTTGGTATGCTTGGGGTGCAGAGATTATTCTTGGCATGCTAGGGGTGCAGAGATCACTCTTGGGATGCTAGGGATGCAGAGATTACTCTTGGTGTGCTAGGGGTGCAGAGGTTACTCTTGGTATGCTAGGGGTGCAGAGATTACTCTTGGTATGCTTGGGGTGCAGAGATTATTCTTGGCATGCTAGGGGTGCAGAGATCACTCTTGGTATGCTAGGGATGCAGAGATTACTCTTGGTGTGCTAGGGGTGCAGAGATTACTCTTGGTATGCTAGGGGTGCAGAGATTACTCTTGGAGTATTGAGGATGGGATTATGCTAGATAACTATCAAGCTTACTCCAACAGACTGAGTCTGATCCGTTCAGTGCATTTTTTTTTTTAAAGAATTCCAACAAAGCCTATTGAAATAATAACAAGTGATACATTTATAAGGACGTTTGGAAATATTCCTGGTTTGCTCAATGTCTGATTTATGTTAGAAAATGTACCTAGGTAGAAAGATTTTTTTAAATTGCATATATAAGAAGAAAAATTTGCATCTATGCAAGTTGTAATGGAAGATCTATTGTACTGATGTTATGTTGATAACATCCTCGATGTCCAGGGGTAAGTTACACTCACTCACGCTCTCTACACCCCATTATATATGTCCAGGGGTAAGTTACGCTCACTCACGCTCTCTACACCCCATTCTCTATGTCCAGGGGTAAGTTACACTCATTCACGCTCTCTACACCCCATCCTCTATGTCCAGGGGTAAGTTACGCTCACTCACGCTCTTTACACTCCATCCTCGATGTCCAGGGGTAAGTTACAATCACTCACGCTCTCTACACCCCATCCTCGATGTCCAGGGGTAAGTTACGCTCACTCACGCTCTCTACACCCCATCCTTGATGTACAGGGGTAAGTTACGCTCACTCACACTCTCTACACCCCATCCTCGATGTCCAGGAGTAAGTTACACTCACTCACGCTCTCTACGCCCCATCCTCGATGTATAACATCCTCGATGTCCAGGGGTAAGTTACACTCTCTCACGCTCTCTACACCCCATCCTCGATGTCCAAGGGTAAGTTACACTCACACTCTCTCTACACCCCATCCTCTATGTCCAGGGATAAGTTAAACTTACTCACGCTCACTACGCCCCATCCTCGATATCCAGGGGTAAGTTACACTCACTCACGCTCTCTACGCCCCATCCTCGATGTATAACATCCTCGATGTCCAGGGGTAAGTTACACTCCCTCACGCTCTCTACACCCCATCCTCGATGTCCAGGAGTACGTTACACTCACTCACGCTCTCTACACCCCATCCTCTATGTCCAGGGATAAGTTACACTTACTCACGCTCACTACGCCCCATCCTCGATGTCCAGGGGTAAGTTACACTCACTCACGCTCTCTACACCCCATCCTTGATGTCCAGGGGTAAGTTACACTCTCTCACGCTCTCTCCACCCCATCCTCTATGTCCAGGGATAAGTTACTCTTACTCACGCTCACTACGCCCCATCCTCGATGTCCCCAGGAGTAAGTTACACTCACTCACGCTCTCTACACCCCATCCTCAAAGTCCAGGGGTAAGTTACATTCACTCACGCTCTCTACACCCCATCCTCGATGTCCAGGGGTAAGTTACTTACTCACGCTCACTACGCCCCATCCTCCATGTCCAGGGGTAAGTAACACTCACTCAAACTCTCTACACCCCATCCTCGATGTCCAGGGGTAAGTTACACTCACTCACGCTCTCTACACCCCATCTTTGATATCCAGGGGTAAGTTACGCTCACTCACGCTCACTCACGCTCTCTACACCCCATCCTCGATGTCCAGGGGTAAGTAACACTCACTCACGCTCTCTACACCCCATTCTTCGATGTCCAGGGGTAAGTTACGCTCACTCACGCTCTCTACACCCCATCCTTTATGTCCAGGAGTAAGTTATACTCATTCACGCTCTCTACACCCCATCCTTGATGTCCAGGGGTAAGTTACACTCACTCAAGCTCTCTACCCCCCATCCTCGATGTCCAGGGGTAAGTTACACTCACTCACGCTCTCTACACCCCTTCCTCGATGTCCAGGGGTAAGTTACACTCACAATCTCTCTACACCCCATCCTCTATGACCAGGGGTAAGTTACACTCACTCATGCTCTCTACACCCCATCCTCAATGTCCAGGGGTAAGTTACACTCACTCACGCTCTCTGCTCCCCATCCTCGATGTCCAGGGGTAAGTTACACTCACTCACGCTCTCTACACTCCATCCTTGATGTCCAGGGGTAAGTTACGCTCACTAACGCTCTCTACACCCCATCCTCGATGTCCAGGAGTAAGTTACACTCACTCACGCTCTCTACGCCCCATCCTCGATGTCCAGGGGTAAGTTACACTCTCTCACGCTCTCTTCACCCCATCCTCTATGTCCAGGGGTAAGTTACACTCACTCAGGCTCTCTACACCCCATCCTCGATGTCCAGGGGTAAGTTACGCTCACTCACGCTCTCTACACGCCATCCTCGATGTCCAGGGGTAAGTTACACTCACTCACGCTCTCTACACCCCATCCTCGATGTCCAGGGGTAAGTTACACTCACTCACGCTCTCTACACCCCATCCTCGATGTCCAGGGGTAAGTTACGCTCACTCACACTCTCTACACCCCATCCTCAATGTCCAGGGGTAAGTTACAATCACTCACGCTCACTCACCCTCTCTACACCCCATCCTCGATGTCCAGGAGTAAGTTACACTCACTCACGCTCTCTACACCACATTCTTCGATGTCCAGGGGTAAGTTACGCTCACTCACCCTCTCTACACCCCATCCTCGATGTCCAGGAGTAAGTTACACTCACTCACGCTCTCTACACCCCATCCTCAATGTCCATGGGTAAGTTACACTCACTCACGCTCTCTACACCCCATTCTTCGATGTCCAGGGGTAAGTTACGCTCACTCACGCTCACTCACGCTCTCTACACCCCATCCTTTATGTCCAGGAGTAAGTTACACTCACTCACACTCTCTACACCCCATCCTTGATGTCCAGGGGTAAGTTACACTCACTCACGCTCTCTACACCCCATTCTCTATGTCCAGGGGTAAGTTACACTCACTCAGGCTCTCAACGCCCAATCCTCGATGTCCAGGGGTAAGTTACACTCTCTCACACTCTCTCCACCCCATCCTCTATGTCCAGGGGTAAGTTACGCTCACTCACGCTCACTCACGCTCTCTACACCCCATCCTTTATGTCCAGGAGTAAGTTACTCTCACTCACACTCTCTACACCCCATCCTTGATGTCCAGGGGTAAGTTACGCTCACTCACGCTCACTCACGCTCTCTACACCCCATCCTTGATGTCCAGGGGTAAGGTACGCTCACTAACGCTCTCTACACCCCATCCTCTATGTCCAGGGGTAAGTTACACTCACTCAGGCTCTCTACGCCCAATCCTCGATGTCCAGGGGTAAGTTACACTCTCTCACACTCTCTCCACCCCATCCTCTATGTCCAGGGGTAAGTTACACTCACTCAGGCTCTCTACCCCCCATCCTCGATGTCCAGGGGTAAGTTACGCTCACTCACGCTCTCTACACGCCATCCTCGATGTCCAGGGGTAAAATCACTCACGCTCTCTACACCCCATCCTCGATGTCCAGGGGTAAGTCACACTCACTCATGCTCTCTACACCCCATCCTCAATGTCCAGGGGTAAGTTACAATCACTCACGATCTCTAAACCCCATTGTCTATGTCCATGGGTAAGTTACACTCACTCAGGCTCTCTACGCCCAATCCTCGATGTCCAGGGGTAAGTTACACTCTCTCACGCTCTCTCCACCCCATCCTCTATGTCCAGGGGTAAGTCACACTCACTCATGCTCTCTAAACACCATCCTCAATGTCCAGGGGTAAGTTACAATCACTCACGCTCTCTAACCCCCATTGTCTATGTCCATGGGTAAGTTACCCTCACTCACGCTCTCTACACCCCATCCTCTATGTCCAGGGGTAAGTCACACTCACTCATGCTCTCTAAACCCCATCCTCAATGTCCAGGGGTAAGTTACAATCACTCACGCTCTCTACACCCCATCCTCAATGTCCAGGGGTAAGTTACAATCACTCACGCTCTCTAAACCCCATTGTCTATGTCCATGGGTAAGTTACACTCACTCACGCTCTCTACACCCCATCCTCTATGTCCAGGGGTAAGTTACACTCACTCACGCTCTCTACCCCCCATCCTTGATGTCCAGGGGTAAGTTACGCTCACTCACGCTCTCTACACCCCATCCTCGATGTCCAGAAGTAGGTTACACTCACTCACGCTCTCTACGCCCCATCCTCGATGTCCAGGGGTAAGTTACAATCTCTCACGCTCTCTTCACCCCATCCTCGATGTCCAGGGGTAAGTTACACTCACTCACCCTCTCTACACCCCATCCTTGATGTCCAGGGGTAAGTTACGCTCACTCACCCTCTCTACACCCGTTACACTCACTCATGCTCTCTACACCCCATCCTCAATGTCCAGGGGTAAGTTACACTCACTCACGCTCTCTACACCCCATTCTGTATGTCCAGGGATAAGTTACACTTACTCACGCTCACTACGCCCCATCCTCGATGTCCAGGGGTAAGTTACACTTACTCACGCTCTCTACACCCCATCCTTGATGTCCAGGGGTAAGTTACGCTCACTCACCCTCTCTACACCCCATCCTCGATGTCCAGGAGTAAGTTACTTACTCACGCTCATTACGCCCCACCCTCGATGTCCAGGGGTAAGTTACACTCACTCACGCTCTCTACACCCCATCCTCTATGTCCAGGGGTAAGTTACAATCACTAACGCTCTCTACACCCCATCCTTGATGTCCAGGGGTAAGTTACGCTCACTCACACTCTCTACACCCCATCCTCGATGTCCAGGAGTAAGTTACACTCACTCACACTCTCTACACCCCATCCTCGATGTCCAGGGGTAAGTTACACTCTCTTACGCTCTCTACACCCAATCCTCGATGTCCAGGGGTAAGTTATGTCACTCACGCTCTCTACACCTCTGGAATATGTCATGGCAAAACTGAAGGCACGAAGATAGCTGTTTGATTGGTCTCAGGTAAAAAAAACTGACCAATCTCTAGGCTGATACCTGTCCTTTGAAGATTACAAAGGAGTGACGCCTCACATCAAAGTCTGTCATTTTTTACCGTTATGTGACCGTGAGATTCTTTTGATGTACATCAAAGGATCGAACTAGCTAAGTTGTCTCATCAACAAGGTTGCACACACCAAGCCTTCAATTTTGTTATGGCATATTCCAGGGGTACAGAAAGCGAAAGTGAGCATAACCCCTGGATATCTAGGATGTGTTGATAAGTACTGTAATATTAAACCAATGGCAGTTACCAGACAGGATATCAGGGTAAACAGTACATGCTTCACTTAAAACCTACAACAGTATATAATTTTCTAATTATAAAGATGTATGTATAATTTAACACACTAGGCAGCAATAACAAGTCTCAGATTTAGATGCATTTTTCTGACATTTTGTCATTTAGTTGAAATTTTGCAGATTTTATATGCGACCATTTACACATATCCTAAATTTTGCTGATATTAATACAACTAGATTTGACAATTTCAAGTACCAGGTAAATAACTTTTTAAAAAGTTAAAATAATATTTAAATGATTTTCTCACCTTGGTATTTGAAAGATCTGCAATGTCTCCATAAGGCAGACTGACACGGTAGACTTCTGTAGTTTTCCACCACAACGGCAGGCCTATCACAACACACACAAACCCTACACCCAGGGCTGCATACGTCTGGGTCGTCCTGTCTGTACAGATACAATATAGTTTATTACTGTGTCAAAGCTGGATCTGCTGATCAAATGGTCCTAAAGAGAAGATGTTCCATTCAAATTTAAAAATAAATGTACTTATAAAATCAAGTTTTGGGGTCAAATACTGACTTTGTCTGTTACAAGGTGAGAGTTTTGTGTCTAGATCTACAAATAGAATTTTCCAGCCATACTGATGTTCAAACACAGGACCATCCAACCTCGATCTAGACACGTTCTACCAATTGAGCTTCCTAGTCGCTGAAGATCAACCCAGTCCAGTTACGCTACAGTCTTCCCTCCTTTTTAAAGTCTTCATCCTGAAGACACAACTATTTACAACTCAGGTTTGGGTATCCCCTTGCAAAATGTACACTGAATGCTTCAAACAACCGGCAAAGGGAAATGCGCACACAGCCAGACGAGAGTTTGAACCTGGGACCCTAGGCCTCCAAACTCTAGACGGAGGTATCCCCGTCTACCAGTTCAGCTACCTGGTCGCCGACGATCCACCCAGTCAGTTCCACTACTTTATCAATATTTATAAGAACTTATGTTTTCTTTGTGACGGGAATTGTCTTATCCATTATGTGTTCAGGTCCGTCTTAAGACCGAATACATTTCTACCTGTTAAAGCGTAGCATCCACAAGCTTTTTTATTTAATATATTTATGTAAGACGCTTTAGATGCATAAAAAATAAAAACGATATGTTAACGTTTCTACAAATTCAAGTGTTCAATCTAGTCCATTTTGTCAGAGCACAGGGATAATCCTGGAGGGGACCATGGGGCCATTGACCCCTGTACAAACTAAAATTGACCCTTCCATGTTTCAATCTTCTTTTAATTGACCTGATCAACATATTCAAAATAGTGAAGAAGATTTATGACGAACGATCGAGTCACGACAAATATGTTCCAAATGGATACCACCAGCAGGACAAGGGGACACTCACAAAAAATATTCAAAAAGCGCTGTAACCTAGACATTAAAAATCGCATTAATTTACGACAAGGTAAATAATATTTTGCTAAAAGATGTTTACTGAAAGAGTTGGCTACTTAGAAACTTGATGTAACTTTACCGGAAGTATTGCATCTGTTTTTGGTACTTTCCCACATGCAAATAAAGTTTATTTTTGCATTTGTATTATGTTTCATGACTGAATAAATGCGACTTGGACAAACAATGTGATTTTTTTTAGATTAAAGTGATTTTGGCTATTTTTAGTAACAAATCCATACCCCTATTGGCGTATAATAGGCGATTTTGCGTATTATACGCAAGTTAGTGGTTTTCCCCGACCTGGTTATAGACGCAGAGGATGGCATAATCATCAAACTGATGGAGCCCTCGTATATAAAGAAGATGTCAAACATTTTGAATTTTACTGGACAATCACTGGGAAAATACCAACAAATAATTAACTTAATTTGATATATATGATAAAGGACATGTTAATTGTACAACAGAAGTATATCATACTGTAAATATTGTAATATCAACTGATATGGACACAGAGGCTTACAGCCTGCGTTCATTATTTATCGTATTAAATTTTACAGCCCCACTTAATTTTGATACCGACAAAAATTGCTGAAAATGGCCCACTGCTCTCAAATTCCAGGATTTTCTGTGAGAGCATATACAGGTGTGCACATACTGTGTAACGGTCATCTTTCTGATAGAATCTACAGTTGATGTATTATGAAACGATTGCGAGCACCATGTCCGTGATGTCTGCTGGATAACCGAAACTCGGTAGTGATACGGACGTAAATTTAAAACCACTCAATAAATCATGCCCTATATTCCCTCCAAATGTCTGCACAATAGGCGGACCGCGATCGTTCAATGGAAAAATAGTCTACACTTATGGTTCATGGTGTACAACTCTTACTAAGATATGTATCATTTAAGATCAAGTGTTATTCACCTTCTTTATCTTTCGGCATTTCCGCAGAGCCGGTATGGTAAAAGTAAACAGGGACTGTTTTCCAACTCACGACACAGAAGAACTCCAATAGGGGATTGTGACAGTTAACTCCCTTGGACCACGGAACGGATTACGACCATAACCATGAATTCAAGCTGTTCAACCAGAATGTGTTGAATATATACTTATGCAACGTGTACATCAATAACTATTTTGAACTATGATAAGGGAAATTCATGGGGACACGCTTATAGGCCTAGCTGTCTTTTTTCTGTTTTACCTATTTGAGTATTTCATTTTTTGGACATGTGTGATTTAGGTGGCCATGTTTTAGGTGACCTAATAATGATTTTATAGTAATAAAATGTACAAACTTAAAATATAATTAGATGTCTTGGCGCGATGTCCGTTGCCTTATCAGATAAACAAATTTCATTCTTAAGACTAGGACTTTTCATATTCTTCTGCTGTCAGTTCTCTAATATAAACAAACAATAAGGAAAAAGTGCATTTAGAACAAAATCTCTCGCGAGACTACCTATATATGTCGTTTGTGAAGAAGTAAATTGGATCTTTTAGGTGTTTTAAATAATAAGTATCTTACAGTATATATATTTCTTTAGATAGATATCTATGAATGCCCCTACAAAAATGCCGTGTTAGTCACGAGCCGTTTATCTCAAGCATAAGAACGTATAGAAAGACCGACCGAATCAAGCGGAAATGTTTTAACAGTGAAAAAAGTTATCTGAATTTTTTACAATGATGTGGGGTTCTCTCCACACCAAAGGCTTCATGGCATTTATTGGATGTTGAGCAGAGTTATAGCTGGTCTTTTTTATGAAAAGACAATAGATTCACTATCAAATGCCAAATATCAGTAGGCTCCCTATTTGAGATGGAATAAGAACACCAATAGACAGTACAGTCATTTTGATTATGAAACAATATATTTATTCAGCAAGATACCTACAAACAAATTTAACTATAAATGGTCTTAAAAAAAGCAATCAATGACAACTAAGCTTATACTACACAAAAATATATTGCAACAGGTAAAGATGAAAAATACTCTCTCTGTCTCTCTGTTTCGTCAGTGTCTTTTTTTCATCCTCTGTCTACATTTTTCTTTTTATTAACCGGAAAGGTTAATAAAAAGAGAAATAGACAAAGGATGAATAAAGACACGGAGCATTTTTCAAATGTTCACATTTAACGTTACATCACATTTGTATAAAACGTGTGAACATTTTATTAAAATGACAATCATTGTGTGAAAGTGGAAGCGAGATAAGTGTGTGTGAGATTTTCAGCTATTACAAATGTACTTTGCATTGTATTTATAAAAAAAAAATCTGAAAATAAAACAAATACAAAAAAAAAGTATCAGTATTTTGTTCGAAAGCTGTAAAATTTATCATGGGCCTGGTACATTACTGTTAACTTGTTTTATAAATAATGTGAAATACTGCACATAAAAAACCGTTCCCTTTTTCCGTTCGTGTTGTAATTAAACGTCTCGTTTCATAGCTGCTGTATTTCAAACAAACCACTGCCTGATTAGGCCTTTCTCGTTTCCCCCAGATAATTAAGAATTCATTAGGCCTAGCACGTATCTAATGATATCACATGATATATATATATGACGTCACTGTGCATATGACGTCAATACTATTGCTAATGGTTACAATATCAACAATGGCCGCTGGACTTGCCGGGTCGTGAGACTACCAGTGTCAAATTAGTAATATGTCGGTCGCTACGGCAATGGCATCGCCGAAAAAGCCACACAAAACAAGGTATGTATTAAAAAATCTCCTGATAATTAACAAAGACCAATGAAATCGGCTTATTCCAGGCAGCATCGAATGCACGATTGCATTTAGTTTGGTTTTGGACTGGTTCCATTTTCACAAAAGTCAAAAGTGACGTACAGTTTTCATAAACGGTGTCAGTAGGCCTAAAAGTCATCACCATTTCCGTATGGTTCACTCTGAAAGCTGTCTGCCAATGATAAAATCCACAGATGATAACATAAAATGCAAAAAAAACCCAAAAAAAAACCAACCGTACATAGTCATCACCTTAGAACCTGGCCCGATGGTCCTAGGCGAGAATATATTGACAGAGCCCGCGTTTGAATACATATATATTCTCTACATGATATATAATGCCTCGCTCATTATATATAGAAGTCTATATCTTAATTTACCTTTTCCAATAAGATTTCATTCCTTTTTGCTGAAATTCGGCACCTAACTAGAAAGTAGCACTTCTGTTGGTAATATTTATTTAGCTATCCGTTTCTTAGAAATTTTACCTTGATTAGCAAATGTGCCAAAATATTTTTTTCGGCAAAATTTAAAGTATGAAAGGAATGGCATCAATAGTAGCTGCAAATTTCAAGCCTTGATCCGATTCGGTTACTGACAAGTGACGTAGGAGCGTTATAAAAAAAAATTACGTGAGCCCCGATACAACCATGCCGCATGAATATAATTCATCCTCAGAATTTTTTATTGAATGAATAAAATGATGGTTTGATTTGGTACCGTCACCTAACACGTAAGTGCATGATGCAGCGTTTTGTTTTCAACGCAATATTAGCTATTCTTATCTGCAAATCATACCTCTTTATGTTTCTCTATAATTCAATTTTAAAAATGAAATTATTTACCGGCAAATGGCACGTTGTGGAAACATGAAAAAGTATTGTTCAAATAAATGTTTTTATTTATAATTGACTATTTTTTTTCCAGAAAGTGTCAAAAACTAGATGAAATGAAGAAAAAACTTTTAAGTGCTTTCAGTTATTTTCAAAGGCCGACTAATATGCCAAAGTGTGCCGTTTTGGGCACTTTGCCGGCTGAAATGTCAAGGTGAATCTGACACAACTAAATTGACTCAATTATTAGTGATATGTGCTGATATATTCGCACTGTTCGCACTGTTCTTCCAGTCGTTGTTAGTCTTAGACTTGTGAGACTGTCCTATATCTTGTTGTCATCGATACTTTATGGTATGCGCATATTTGTTGGTGACAAGTTTAAAGAGTTAAAAGTTCGTTCACACTAACGATTTTTAGTGTGTTGATTATATTTTTGTACAGTTAAAATTCCTGATAAATATACAGACGTGTTTGGTAGCGAAACAATTTCACTAACCCGCTGTCAGCAACATTAACTGCTGATAAGCACGTGATCTTAATGTTCATTTTTCCAAGGTTAAGGCTGTTGTAGATAGCAAATAATGTTACTACCCTTCCATTGTCCGTTTTTTCCACTATGTACACTAGGGTAAGCGACCCCATCTGGAATTCAAGAAGTCTCCACGCTCTATTTGAATTTGAATGCGGTTCGATCATACTCGTCTCTTACTTCTCTATGGGGATTTAAGCCGGTTCTCTAACCACTACAATTACTGATTTGTGGAATATTCATAACTTCATTATGCTGGATATCATAAGTTTCATTAATACCCCCAATAACTATTTTTGTTGCATTTGTTAAAATTAGCGATACAGTATCACTAAATTATAACGTATGCTTACCTGTGAGTTATTTGTCTTTCTGGAGCTAATAACAATCAGGTGTGAATTTAATAGGTAGATTTTTCCAGTGGTCATTCAGTCTGGATTTAAAAATGTTCAGACTTCCTGCAGTCACTACCATGCTTGCTAGGTTATTCCAATCGTTCACAATTCTGTTGGAGAAGCAATTTTTTCTACAGTTTATCCTGCTCCTTACTTTCTTCAGCTTCCACTGGTGTCCTCTAGTTCTGGTGTTATCATCTAGTTCGAAGAACTTGGATTTCTCTACTTTATCTATTTCCTGTAGAATTCTGAACGTCTGTACCATATCATTCCTTTTCCTTCTATATTGGAGCGTCGGAATTCCTAGATTTAGTAGTCTTTCCCTGTATGTCTTGTTTCTTAGAGCTTTTAACTAATTTTGTCGCCCTACGTTGCACGTTTTCGATTGCTATGATATCTCTTTTGTAGATTGGATTCCAAACAGAACTTGCGTATTCTACATGTGGCCTGATCAATGCTTTGTAGACCGTTAGGAACGTTTCTTTGTCGAGATGTTCAAAAGTTCGTCTGACAACACTGGTCATTTGGTTACCTTTTGATACACATCCTGATATGTGCTTGCTGAACTTCAAGTCCTTGTCGAATGTGACTCCTAAATCCTTTTCTTCCTTGACTTGTGATATTTTGGTCGAGCTTCCGTTGATTGTCATCAAATAGTTATTTTCCTGGTTACTATGTCCCAGATGCATTGATTTACATTTTGAGGTGTTGAATGACATCTGCCATTTATCAGACCACTTTGTGACGTTGTTCAGATCTTGTTGAATTGAATCTTTCTCTGCCACAGAACCTGTCTTTCCAATGATCTTTGCATCATCTGCGAATAGTTTAGAGATGGTATGTATGTGTTCCGGAAGGTCGTTAATAAATATTAGAAACAGGATTGGGCCGAGTACGCTCCCTTGTGGTATTCCAGATTTTACAGCCTCCCGATCGGATGCCTCCCCGTGTACAATCACCCTTTGTTGTCTCCCGATAAGAAAGTCCTTTATCCACTCCAATACCTTTCCAGTAATTCCGTATCTTTCAAGCTTTGTTAATAAACGATTGTGGGGGACTGTATCAAAGGCTTTTTTAAAATCTAAGTACATGATGTCCACTGGTTCTTTGTTGTCCAAAATTTTGGTGATAATTTCTATGACTTCGAGTAGTTGTATGGTTGTTGATCTACCTTTTCTGAATCCGTACTGGTGTTTGGTTAGAAGGTTGTTGTTTTCTAAATGTTCCATAATTTTATCACGTAGAATTTTTTCCATGCATTTTCCAATGACTGATGTTAAACTTACTGGACGATAATTTGCTGGTTGTTTCCTGCTTCCCTTTTTATGCAGTGCAGTTAAATTCCATTGGGTTGGAAGTTTCCCTTCGTCGAGAGATTTCTGGAAGATGATTTTGGTCGGGGTTGCTATTGCGGTTCCAATTTCTTTAATGACCTTCGGGTGTAGACCGTCAGCCCCTGGGGATTTTGAAACTTTGACTTCATCTAGTTTCTTCAGGACCATTTTATCGTTTATTTGAACTTCCGTTAGTTCGATGTTATTGTTGCGGTTTTCAAATAATGGAGTTATTTCCAGATTTTCGTCAGTGAATACACTGCAAAAATATCTGTTTAGAAGATTGGCTTTTTCCTTGTTGTCCGAAACATTGTTTTCATTTTCATCAGTCAGATCACCCAGTCCTCTCTTGACTTTGGTTTTGGTCTGTACATATTTCCAAAAACTTTTGCTGTCCTTTTTCACATTTTCAGCTACTGTTTTTTCAAAGTTCATTTTCGCCTCCCGGCACGCTGCAGTAGCTTTATTCCTCGCCTCTTGGTATTTGTGGAAATTTTCCTCTGATTTGACATGTTTATATTTGACCCACCGTTTTTTCTTTCTTTTAATGGCTTCCATCGAATCATCTGTAACCCAGTATTTTCTAGGTTTCCTGTTCGGATCTCCTTCCTCACTGGTACATGTTTCTTCATCATCTTATTTACTTGTTCATGAAAGTGATCCCATGCTTCCTGGGTTGATTGTGTTTCCATTAGTTCCTCCCATGCCATTTCCTTGAACTCCTTTCTCATTTCCTCATAGTTTCCTTGGTAGTATCTGTAGGTGGTTCCCTTTGTTCCCTTAATGTCTAAGTACAATTGGAGGTCAAATGTCATTACCACATGGTCACTTTTCCCTAGCGGTGCCTTAATCTCTACTTCTTTAACCATGTTTTCGTCCTTTGTTAAAATTAGATCCAGGATTGCAGCCCGTTGGTTTTGCCTAAAGTGTGTTTCATCATTGACGCATTGTGTGAGGAAATTACCAGCACAGTTTCCAGAAATTTGTAGCTGTTACTTCCAATGGCGCCGTTTGTAGACAGATTATTCCAGTCAATTTCACCATAGTTGAAATCCCCCACTATTAACATATGAGAAGATTGTTCACATGCTTTCGATATTACTGAAATTAGTTGTGTGTTGTTCTCCTCGGAGCTGTTGGGACTTCTATATATGTTCCCTATGGTTAATTTGTCCATTCCTTTTAGTCCAATCGTGCACCATACACTTTCTTGGAAGTTTGATCTTGGAAATTCATCTTGATGAGTTCCTTGAAGTGATTTCCTTATATAAGTTACTACTCCTTGCCCTTTTGTTGTTGAATTTAAAAATGTATCGTAGTTTTCCAAGTTGAATTCGCTTTCACGTATGTTTCCCTGGTTATTTTTCGGTAATATTTCTGTAAGTGCTATTATATCTGGATCTTCTGACTTGATTATCGCTTCCAATTCTTGTCTTTTATTAAGTAAGCTGTCCACATTGCTATAAAGGATACGTTGTTTGTCAGTATTCTCTCTATTTACAGTTAAAAGAGGATTGTTTCCTTCCTTGTTAAAACTTGTTCCCTATGGGGTCCCCTCCTTATCAGAAGTATCTCGTTCTGAGTCCATTCCATCCCATCCTTGGCTTCCCTGAGATATTTCCATTTGTGAAGCTAGTAATGATTCCACCTCTGAGCCTTCATCTTTCTCTGAATCTAGGTTTAGAGCTATAAGGGGGTCGGAAGGCATTGCACCCATTTTTCCTGGTGATATACTTGTAACTTGTGTACTAGTTAGAGGTGTGCTAGTCTTTGTCGTTGCCCGTTTCTCAGCTGATCTCATCAGGCGTCCTACGATTTCACTTTGTTTTTTTGTGGCGTCCTCCTTCTTTTTGTTCTTTTGTGTTACTTTGGGAATTTTGGCCAAGGTTGTACTTTTTTTAGGAATCCCTGATGGACCTGGTTTAGGTTCCTGCTGTGTAAATGGTACTGGGTTGGGTTCTTGGTCAAATTCTATTATTTTTTCTCCTCTTTCCTTCCTTTCCTTCATTTCTTTCCACAGGGCTTGGTGTTTTCCCCTTTGTTCTTTTGTGTAGTCTCTGGTTAATACGACTTTTTTAAACTTCTCTTCCTGGATATCCTTGATTTGTCTGCAGTTATCCAATTTTTTTTTCCTTTCTGATCTATTTTGAAGCGTTATTTTTGCTGGTCTGGTTTTGTCTGTTGAGGGTTTTCCTAATCTTATTGCATCCTTTACAATTGCATTCTCTATGCCTATTAGTTGGAAAAGATGTATCAAATTTCCTATATCTTCTCTTTTCCTGTCAGCTGAAGTTTCTTTGTCCGATTCCGGGAGGTTGAAGGCCATGAGATTCATTTCTCGCCTGCGCTGATCATCCATTTCCCTAATTCTATTTCCTATGACTTCATCCATATCTTTTTTGATGTTGTCGATTATGTCCCCTTTCATCCCTTGGACAGCTCCCGACACCCTAGTAGGAATTTCCTTTTCCACTTTGTTCACTTTATCTTCAAGTTTGTCAAGTCTCTGTCCTGTACTTTTCTTTATTTCTTTTAAAGATTTCTCCATGGAACTGAAGCGTGGGAAATTCATGTTACATATGTTACATGTCCATTTGAAGTTTTTCAGAAGACCAGTGTCTACCAAAGTATAAAGTTCTTTTGGAATTTTACTACAGGGCCAGCAGTACCAGCAGTCGCATATTTCACACTGTGTAGCTTGGGTATTCTCATCAATTTCCTTCTCACATATCGGGCATTTACAGATGATATCACTGCTGTCTTGTCTTGGCCTTTTCTTAGATTTAGGTGGACGCCCAGTGTTCCTTCTCGCTTCACGAAGGTTGCAGAGTCAAGACTGGTGTTTTGATTTGTTCTCCTTCCTGCTCTCACGCTCCTGTTTCCACTCATTTTGATTGTAGGTTTCGTTTAACCTTCAATGTATAGTGCCGATGTTCTACACCTGTGTCGATAGCAGCAAAGAACAAACTCTGGTATATATGTATTAGCGAAACTGTTTCACTAAATACAACAAAGTCCAGCTTTTACACAGAGTATGTCATTGACTACTAATCATTTATAATCAATAACAGTCACTATGAATTCTGTCCATTAATCTTCTCGTCCAGACTTTTTTAAGAAGCTCTTCCGGGTGTATCCCGTCCTTGTAGAGACGTACGTTTAGTTGTTCTTGTTTTTTTTCTTGTTTTTAGATTTCCGAATGTTGATAACATCTAGGTGAAATCCTGGCGATAAGAATAGGTGATCTTTATTAAATTCTTTGATGAAGATGTTAATCAACTGAACTTGTTTGGCAAGAATTTTATCCTCCTCCTTTGATATAGTAAGATCTGCCCCTTCCTTTTTTGTGTTCCAAGCTTCTATGGAGTAGAGGGGTACATGTAATAAACACAGGCGGATTCTTGAGTACCCTGCAATTCTCCCAAGAACACGTGACACCTCCTGCTCGTAGAAATCCTTTCCTCGCTCTATTTCGTTGTTCCTAAGCCATATGTGACCATTCTCATCCTTTGCTGTGAGGTCGCACGTCCCTGTCCACAGGTAGATTACTATCTTTTGAGTTCTTTTTATATTTCCATTTCGTAGCTTTTCTTCAATCACTTTTCTGCATCTTTCCGTTGTCGCCCCTGCTTTGCAGCTGAATTCTATTTTAGGGACATTTCCGTCACGCTCGAGTTCCTTGTATTTGTTGTGAAGTACCAGGCCCTTACTGTCACCTATAACGATAGGTCTCCACACACGATTTCCCCTGTAGATCACAGGAACCCTCTTCAAGTATTTCTCTAAGGCCCTCTGAGACATGCGACGTTTTTATTCACACCTGATTGTTAAGATACATTTTATTTATTTACACCACATAAACAAAAAGATAACTTATACTAAAATAACTTGTACTAAATAACTTTTAGTCTCTCCCCGACCAATAATTACCGTACATTGTTACGAAGACCCGTGAGAAGCCAGAGTTAAGTATTTATCTAAATTGTAGTTTCGTCGTAAATGAACATGGATTGATAAAGAATGTCCCCGAAAGCAAATTAGATGCTTAAGTTTACTAACGACGAGCCCACTACTATCACCTATGGACTTTACAACAAATCATTGCTGATTTATCAAATGTAATTGCGGAGATCCAATATGGCGGCGCACATGGCCCCTCAAGCTAGTATGGAAAATAGCGTTTTTCCACCTCCAGAAAATGTTCGGCCGGGAGTAGATGCACAACCCGCCTCAACCTTACCTACCGACACTCCTAGAACATATTTTAAGAACTATAGTGCCCATTTATCGGAGATTATCGTCATATATTCTTCTCACTGCTCCTAGATGATTTTTTTGCGACTTGTCACCCGCGCATGCGCATCCAGATTCAACAAATATACAATATAAAAAAAACCACTAAATGCATCTTGTGTTTAATTGAAATAGACAAAACAAACCCGTAACTAAACAGGAACTATTGATATTTTTCTTTAAAAAGTGATCTAGTTTTGGTACCCCCGCGTTAGCACAGCTGTACGACATAGATTGAGACGGCTTAGTGTGAAGGTTTACATGAAAGGTTGTACATTGAATGTTAACAGATAAATTGATAATATCAATTCGTTTCCCAATTCCTTTATATCTCTTATCATTTGTCCACAACGCGGCATTATATGACATTTCTGCAAACATTACATTTCCCCCGCTTGATGAGCAAGTCCACACCGCGGCATTGCAACTGTAAGCTTTATTTGCGCTGTTTTATAGTCGTTTTACCGTTACAAATTTAATGTTTCCATGAATGTCGGGGATATAGTATTCGTTTCGTCCGTGCATGCGTCCATGCCATGCATTCGTACTAACTATCGTTATCAGAGCATATCTCAGTCACTGTTTCCGGAATGAGTATCAAACTTTGTATAGGCACATCATGGGAGGCGGTGTGTCGCATCCTAAAACGAGGTCATGGTGACCTTAATTTTTAACGCTGATCTTGACCTCAATTATAATACAGTATCCCAGTAAATTAATGCAGGTTTCTGCAGCATATCTCAGCCATAGTTTCATGAATGGGCTTCAACCTTTGTAGATACGCAGGGTAGGGGTTATCTGTGACAAGCCAACGCTTCAAGTTAAATTTAGTTTCATGAAGATTATAGTTTTGATAAATGACCTCGTTAGAAGTCTCTCAACCCAACACGTCAGATATCACGGGATGGGCTATGCAAATTAAGTTCAGTGAAGTCTGAGTTCCCCCGGACCTCCTTATACACGGATCCATCACTGATCCAAAAACGAAATTATAGGGAACTATTCCTGTACAAATATCCGCATTTGTTTATTTCTCAAATGAGGAAACCTCGATGATTGTAATAAAATTTATCTACTCCAACATCCAGGTAAGCATTTTAGAAACTGTTGATAACCACAACTGATTTGTATTTCAAAGAGATGTTTGAATACGGACGTAAGGAATGTCAAGAAATATGAATCACAGATAACTTTTTGAACTTATTATAAATGAAATGCCGATGTTATGACACGTAACGCATATATTTGTATTGCTACTTGAATTTTCAGATATCGAAACCAAATCCCAGCATGGGACGCGCGACGTTTGGGTTTAAGAATCACTCAAACCCAATGTGAAGGGAAATCCGAGTACCAAACTGTAAGTATATGACAGCCTCACACTCACACTCAGTCACTACCTTTACCACTATAGTAACAGTCACAATCATCACCTTCACCGTAATAGTAACAGTCACACTCACTACCTTCACCCTGATAATAACAGTCACACTCATCACCGTCACACTCATCACCTTCACCCCAATAGTAACAGTCATCCTCACCAGCTTCACCCTCATAGTAACAGTCACACTCACCACCGTCACACTCACCACCTTCATCCTTATAGTAACAGTCACACTCACCACCTTCACCCTAATAGTAACAGTCACACTCACCATCGCCACCCTTATAGTAACAGTCACACTAACCACCTTCACCCTTATAGTAACAGTCACACTAATCACCGTCACACTCATCACCTTCACCCTAATAGTAACAGTCACCCTCGCCAGCTTCACCCTAATAGTAACAGTCACACTCACCACCTTCACCCTGATAGTAGCAGTCACACTCATCACCGTCACCCTTATTGTAACAGTCACACTCAACACCTTCGCCCTAATAGTAACAGTCACACTCATCACCGTCACACTCACCACCTTCACCCTGATTGTAACAGTCACACGCACCACCTTCACCCTGATTGTAACAGTCACACGCACCACCGTCACACTCACCACCTTCACCCTAATAGTAACAGTCACACTCATCACCGTCACACTCACCACCTTCATCCTTATAGTAACAGTCACACTCACCACCTCCACACTCACCACCTTCATCCTTATAGTAACAGTAACACTCATCACCGTCACACTCACCACCTTAACCCTGATAGTAACAGTCACACTCACCCCCGCCACACTAACCACCTTCATCCTTATAGTAACAGCCACACTCACCACCTTCACCCTGATAGTAACAGTCACACTCGCCACCGCCACACTAACCACCTTCCCCCTTATAGTCCCAGTCACACTCATCACCGTCACACTCACAACCTTAATCCTTTTATCAACATTCACACTCACAACCCACCCTGATATTAACAGTCACACTCACCACCGCCACACTAACCGCCTCCATCCTTATAGTAACAGTCACACTCATCACCGTCACACTCACCACCCTAAACCTGATAGTAATAGTCACACTCACCACCTTACCCCTGATAGTAACAGTCACCACCTTCACCCTTATAGTAACTGTCACACTCACCCCTTCATCCTGAAAGTAACAGTCACACTCACCACCTTCACCCTAATAGTAACCATTCACACTTATCACTTTCACCCTAATTGTAACAGTCACACTCACCACCTTCACCTAACCTTCACAGTCACCACCTTCACCCTAATAGTAACAGTCACACTCATTACTTTCACCCCTATAGTAACAGTCACATTCACCAGCTTCACCCTAACCTTCACAGTCACCACCTTCACCCTAATAGTAACAGTCACACTCACCAACTTCACCCTAATAGTCACAGTCACACTCACCACCTTCACCCTGATAGGGACAATCACACTCACCACTTTCACCCTAATAGTAATAGTCACACCCACCACCTTCAGGCTTCACCCTAATAGTAACAGTCACACTCACCACTTTCACCCTAATAGTAACAGTCACACTCACCACCTTCACCTCTATAGTAACAGTCACACTCAACACCTTCACCCTAATAGTCAAAGTCACACTCGCCACCGCCACCCTAACAGTCACACTTACCTTCATTCTTGTAGTCACACTTACAACCTCACATTATCAGTCACATACACGAACTTTACCCTAACAGTCACTTACCACAATCAACCAAACAATCACCTTCACCACCTTTACCAGCATGCCGGACTTCAAATGTTGTAAAACTCATGGCCAGCTATGACACGTCTGTCTCCTTGTCGTTTAGCAGTGTCCTTTGCGCCATTCATTGTCTTTTTTCCACGCCCCATTTCGTATCGCAACCCGTTCTTTTTCATGAACCCAGTTCATATCACAGTCTATTCTTTGTCATTTTGTCACACCTTATTTCATATCGCAACCCATTTTTATTTGTCATTTAGCCACACCAAATTTCCTATCACAATATGTTTCCTTTCATTAAGACGTACCTCATTTCATATCGCAACCCATTCAATGTCGTTTTGCTACTATTACAACCCATTCCTGATCTCTTGTTCTTCTTGTTGCTTGTCCTTTAGCTGGACCCATTGTTTTGTCCGTCAACACGCTGTCTTCTGTGACATTAGTCAAAATATCTTTCCGTTATTAACACATTTTTTCTTTATCTTTTAGTCATATCAACTTTCTTACAGACATGTAACAATCCGTGTCTTGTGGTCTAGTCATCGTTCAATTAGACCAACTTAATGTTATTCACCCTCCTGGTTATTTAGTCGTAGATTTTGACATTGTTATAGTGTAGTCACGACCCTGGTTGTTTAGTAGCAACACCCCATGTGTTGTCGTTTAGATTGTAGCAACACCCCATGTCTTGTCGTTTAGATTGTAGCCACACCCCATGTCTGTAGCAACACCCCATGTGTTGTCGTTTAGATTGTAGCCACACCCCATGTGTTGTCGTTTAGATTGTAGCCACACCCCATGTATTGTCGTTTAGATTGTAGCCATACCCCATGTCTTGTCGTTTAGATTGTAGCCACGCCCCGTGTCTTGTCGTTTATATTTAAGCCACATCCCATGTCTTGTCATTTAGATTGTAGCCACGCCCCGTGTCTTGTCGTTTATATTTAAGCCGCATCCCATGTCTTGCCGTTTAGATTGTAGCCACACCCCATGTCTTGTCGTTTAGATTGTAGCCACGCCCCGTGTCTTGTCGTTTATATTTAAGCCGCATCCCATGTCTTGCCGTTTAGATTGTAGCCACACCTCATGTCTTGTCGTTTAGATTGTAGCCACGCCCCGTGTCTTGTCGTTTATATTTAAGCCGCATCCCATGTCTTGTCGTTTAGATTGTAGCCACACCTCATGTCTTGTCGTTTAGATTGTAGCCACACCCCATGTCTTGTTGTTTAGATTGTAGCCACGCTCCTTGTCATTAATACATTTGTAGTTACGTAGCGCCTCTTGTCCTAAGTGTGTAGTCACGCTCATTGATTTTATAGAGTACTTTCACATCCCTTGTCATTTATAGTGTAGTCAAGCTGTTGCCATTTAGAGTTAAACCATGCCACTTTAGAGTATATCAGTGCATCTTAGAGTATAGCCAAGCCCATAGGCCTTTGCAGTGTGGTCACACCCCTGGTTATTTAGCTACACATCATTTCTTGTCATTTAAAGTGAAGTCACTCCTTTGTCCTTCAAAGTGCAGTAACACCATGGTCATTTTGAGTGTAGTCACGCCCTTGGCATTAAGAGTGTGGTAACGCCCTTGCCATTTGACGCGTTGCCAACTGCTTACTCCGGCCCCTTGCTGATTTACACCTCTCCTTCAAACACGCCTCTTTCTCGACGTTTATATATATCGATACCCGTTTTATTTAGTTACACATCTTCAAAGTTTGAAGGAATTATTTCATAAGAGCCTTTCGACATATTCTCACACCATATAGTCTATTATTTTGACATTGTGTTAAATGTGCGTTTGATGAAATGATTAAAACTGAACAACGTCCATATTACCATTACCTCTCTTCTCCAATGTTTTGACTTCTGATCAGGTGCAATACAGTATAAACGATAACGCCATTTCTGTTGATAACAGTCGTACCCGAAATGGCCATTCCAGCGGCCAAGGACCAACATCAAACCCGCGAACAACCGTCTCGAGATCCCAACCTCAATCTGTGACATGGAAATGGACACCACATACAAAACGGATTATGTCGCTCACGAGGTACGCTATAATTCTGACGTTACCTTGATTTGTTAGATTCATTCTTTAAGAAATATAAACTTATTAGAACAAAAACGAATTCCTGCATTGCTTGCGTCGTTCGGTGACAGAGTTTTCATTTTTCGGTTGTAGACCTCGAAGAGAGAGAAGAAGAAGGAAACAGTGTACCGGTCGGCTAAAGGCGAACTCATGACGGATACCACGTACAAAGTGGACTTCGCCCCAAAGGTAAGGTTCTAAGATAAATCAAACAGTGTACCGGTCGGCTAAAGGCGAAATCATGACGGATACCACGTACAAGGTGGACTTGGCCCCAAAGGTAAGGTTCTAAGAGAAATCGAACAGTGTACCGGTCGGCTGGAGGCGAACTCCTGACGGATACTATACGTACAAAGTGGACCTCGCCCCAAAGGTAAGGTTCTAAGAGAAATCAAACAGTGTACCGGTCGGCTGAAAACGAACTTCTGACGGATACCACGTACAAGGTGGACTTCGCCCCAAAGGTAAGGTTCTTAGAGAAATCAAACAGTGTACCGGTCGGCTGAAAGCGAACTTCTGACGGATACCACGTACAAAGTGGACTTCGCCCCAAAGGTAAGGTTCTAAGAGAAATCGAACAGTGTACCGGTCGGCTAAAGGCGAAATCATGACGGATTCCACGTACAAAGTGGACATCGCCCCAAAGGTAAGGTTCTAAGAGAAATCAAACAGTGTACCGGTCGGCTAAAGGCGAACTCATGACGGATACCACGTACAAGGTGGACTTCGCCCCGAAGGTAAGGTTCTAAGAGAAATCGAACAGTGTACCGGTCGGCTAAAGGCGAACTCATGACGGATACCACGTACAAAGTGGACTTCGCCCCAAAGGTAAGGTTCTAAGAGAAATCAACAAGGTTTGGTTTAGTTCAGCCTGTTTGTGATAATAACCAGAAATAAGAAGTAAGTGAGTGCGTATTTATACATAAGTGCTTAATGCAGAAAGCCAAACATAGTTAATACTTACTGAACGTTATGGCCATCGCGCCAATTTATGACACATCAGCGACACTTATATCAAAACAACAAACATCGATGTCGAAAGTGTTCCAAAATAAATACAGCAAAACTGTGTATTAATGTTTGAATTTCGACTGCAGCTGATTTCTTTAACTATCTTTTTGTAAGTCGTGCCAGAATTAATTCGAGAATATTTATAGATATGTTTCGAACTAATGTCTACACGTGCTTGTTGTAAAACTGTAAAATCTGTTCATTTTTTCGTTTTTGTTACTCCTACTTGGAAAGTAGCAATCATTTGCAATCATGTTCGTGGGGTCTTCAATTGTATGCACGGGAATCAGTGATTTTTGTACTTGTGCTACTTGCGTTTCGGAACATCACACACAACAAGCATTTTTTTTTTTGGGGGGG